AAAACACAGTGAAAGCATCTCCACTCCTCCTCTCTCCCCTCTGCCCATTCTCTTGTCAGAGAAAAGACAGGCAGTAACTGTCTGTGTGTCACCAGGGGTAATTGTGGGAAGCCAGAGAAGAGTTGCCCTGCAACATCTAGTCAAGCTTTGGTAACTTTTCCTCTTGCATTCTATATATTCCAGAAGTACAGAAAGACAATAGGAAAAAAAAAAATAGATGAGGGGAAAAAGTATTTTTTGAGGGATACTTTTTCTGAGCTACAAGTCTGTTTTCTCTCCTGTGGTGGGCTCATTATGTCCTAGTAATGAAACATAGTATTTACAATGTGTTCTTCTGCAATGTTGTTCCTCCAGGAGTAGGGAGGTCCACAGTGAGACCTAAACCTACAACAGAACTAAGATGGCTTAGTATTTTTATACCTTACGGTGCAGCAGTGGGTGATCAGGAAAAATTAAATAGAAGATGCATGCAAATTATTCAGTACTGGTATCAAACTGTCAGTATCTGCATTCTCTGGATATCAGGACCAAGTCTGTGATAAGTCCACACCTAATTTCTATTTTTGACTGCAAGTGGAACAATGACACAGCTATGTGACTGTTTTAACTGAACCACAGTGAGAAGGAAAAATTACAGGCTAATAATAAAGTTGCATGAAGATGGACCTTTACAGATATTCACAAACCAGATTATTTATTACATTAATTTGATAGATGCTCTGGTCAAAAGCAATGTATGTAGTGCTATATACATGTCATTTGTGCCTGAAGAATCCAGTCGTGACTGTCCTCATTTACTCTTCAATTATAATTGTGACTAGGTTTACAACTATTTTCATTACTGATTAATCTGCTGATTATTTTCTGAAGTAATCAGTCTATAAAATGTCAGAAAACAGTGAAAAAAATATATCACAGAAGTCTAAGGCCATGTCTTAAAATGTCTTATATTGTCTCAGCAAGGGTCCACACCCCAAATATATTCAATTTACAAAAATATAAAACAGAGAAAAGAAGGAAATCTTTATATTTACAAAGTTGAATAAAGCAGATTTTTAGCATTCTTACTTAAAACAGCTGCAGATTGTTTCTATTGTCGACTAATTATTGTAGCTCTTTTTATTTGAACTTACAATAAACTAAACAAGAGCAACTGTTGCTTCCACCTTCATACTAATTTTAGTGTGCTGACACAAAAGAAATCCTTGATGTGCTTCTTTTACAAGGTCTTCACAGATCTTCAGAATGACAGGCGTGTGGAGAAACAGATGGGAAGACGGAGGGGAACACTGGGACATCACGATGAAGACTAACAATAGCTGAAGACTGATGGGAGGATGCTGTTGCACACGCTCCAGACAGAACTTCATCAGGTTCAGTGGCGTTCAAGCACACATTCCTTGCATTCTATTGCTCACACCATGATGCGAAACTTCAAAGTTAATGTGGGTTATGCATGCTGGCTCTGGGCCAGGTTTCAGGGTGATTTCACGGTCTTATTCACTGCTCTATAAATATTACCACTCCGGGCTCAAGGGCAAAAGTTTAAATCAATGTTGTCGGAAGGAAGGGACAATGAAAGGCAGAAACAAATAAAATTAGGGTGAAGGAAAGACCCCTTGAATCACATTATTAGCAAATAGCTCCAAAGTCCAAAAGCTTCAATTTATAATAAAAGTATGTAGCATGTATTTTCTGTATAGTCACAACCTGATATAACTTATCTGTGTCACAAAACTTTGCTGTCCTTCCAAAGCAATTAATTACATAAAATCCATGCTACAGTGTATTTGACATACATTACAATGAGCACAGCAACAGTTTATACCTCTAGCTTGTCCAATTAGTGACAATGTCAAAATGCAACCAGAACTTCAAGCATGCACAGTGCCATCTACTTGACATGGAGCTACTCCCAAGAAATTGTAAATACAAACTATAATCCACATACAGTAAATATTTTAAAGAATTCAACAGTGTTTTTGAATGACAGTGGCGCTCCGTGACACACAGGGATACACTACATCAGGCTGCAAATGCACTACACAGACTACTTGTCAGCAGGACAGGTCCTTTGTTGTTTTCTTCTGTTTAGAAAATTTGTTGATTACTATTAAAAAGAAAAGGTAACTCCAGCATTGTCCTTTAAAGATGATGGCGTGAGCCAAAAAGTAGACATAAAAAATAAAGAACAAGAGGGAGCAGAAAGAAACAAGGAAAGGAAGCTAAGTAAGGGAAAAAATAACGAAGTAAGAAGGGAAACCCCCTTCGTTTGTGGCAATAAAAGAGTACCGCTGCTCTCTGGGAGATTAAATATGAACGGAACAAAACAAAACGAGGGCTTTGAGACCCTCCGAGTCCTAGCCATTCTTCTAGCCACAGTAGCCTAGCAACCACTGCTTGACCAGTCCATTGTGCAAACGTATGTTACGCTTTTATCCCTCATTAGCAACATTCCTCCCTGCAGGCTGGGATTTTACAGATTAGGTTGAAAAACACAAAAGAGACTGGACAAACCTTGCTGACTTCCAACATATTACTTTACAGGCTAATCATTGATCAAATAGCTGTATGTTTGTCTGTATAGAGCATGTGTACACTACAAATTGATAAATGACATGCTGAGTAGTTGAGTGAAGGTGGAGAAGTTTTAAGTGTTTTTCTATCCGTGTATATGTACGTGTCTGTTCTGAGAGGAAAAATACTGGAATGAAACACCCCGATAATATATATCAGAACAGAGAAGAGATATAGCCACACCAGACATTTTGTTCATTACTTATTATAAAAGCGAGATTCCACTTACTACAACATATTCTTTTTTTTTACCCCATGTAAATAACTCTCTCTTCTTATCAATTTAGACTGACCAACACATAAACGCTGAGACAAACAAACAAGAGACCTACACAAGCAGATGCAACAACATCTCCAAACTGTGATATTCTAGGATTTTACTAGGAAAACAACCCAACACACCACAGGGTGCTATTTGTGTGTGGGAGAGTGTCTTTCAGAAACTCACTGCCCTGGCTCCAAGCAAACACATAGAGCTGCTTTCATTCTCTCTTTGTTTAGATTAAACTGTATATTGACAACAGATGTTCAGATTCAGAAGAACAAATAAACAGATATTTATTCCAAAGTCTTACAATCTTCAGGTAAAATATTGAGCTCCCTCATTTCATTACTTTTCGTGGTCTTTTCTAAGTTCAGTTTTAAATCCTCCCCTCTTTACTTAAAGCATATACTTTGTCTAGGTCATAGTGAAGTGGGAGGACAATCACACTGACTTGTGTTAGCAGCACGGTGCCTGCTGGGGGAAGTTTGTGTATGTTCTCTAAAAATCCGATTACCTCAGTCTAAACAACAGTTAAATCCTCTCGCTCCATCTGCCCCATAATTAACACAAATCTTAAATAAGACTACTTTTAGGGTTGGGCTCTTCTACGCTGTTCACCACATGGCACTAGGGCATTATATGCACATAAAATACATAATTTAAAATTCTGTTTCAAGGAGGAAAAAAAATATATCAACATCTCTAGACACTGTCCACATTCAAAATGATCATCTTGTTTTAGTTTTACTTTTGTTAAAAACTACTTCAACCACACAAAGCTTTTTTTTTACTGCTTTACAAATATATTCAAAATTATTGATATTGGGTCTGGGTGCCACAATGTACTTTTACCATCTTATTGTGAATACAAGTAGGCTGTAAAATTAGCTGGGAAGGTTGAGGAGGAGTGTACATTTTTTGTCATGCATGCACTATCCCTGCTGTTAACTTAAACTACAAACATGTACACAGGTCATGCTTGCAGCATAAAAATCATAACTGACTATGTATGTGTTTGACCTGCATGCAAAATTGTTGTGGTCAATTGAACAAGCCCCTACAAACACTTTAACACTGAGTGGCAACCTTAAAAATTTCAAATCCAATCAAAATGTCTTATTATGGTGATCATGGAGGGTCTGGTTTGTGTACATTCACAGGTTTTGTGTCGACATTCACATACTGATTCCCACAGCTGGAGATAAACACACATCAGTAGACCTGAGCTGCTCCCCACATGGCCCCAGGTTGAGAAGAGTCTATTTTTCTTATTAAGCCCTATTCATTCATTATTTAGCCGGGGAGAACTAAAGTCTGCTGGTATTTTGTAAACTATTTTTGTATTTTGTAAACTGTGAAGGAACTAGCATGGTTGTTGGTCTACTGCACTGAACCACCTTCCACTTTTCTCTATTTATTATACCTAGATAGGTTCTCTGTCCAACTCATTTTTACCCTATGATCTCTGGTAGGTCAGGCTGAGTTGGCAGTGTGGACCGAGTGTGTCTGCTTATGTGTTTGGTACAGTAAATCAGTGACTATTTAAACAACACTGCAGCTCAGGGTGGAGAGGGGGCTGGGAAGGTGTATGTTAAAGGATGAGGCAGTGAGTTTTGGGGAGGGGGTGGCAGTCCAGCTGAGCAAACTAAGACTTTATTTCACATCCTCTCGATAGCATCCCCAGCACAGCCACGGACTTTTTACACCTCTTTAATCTCACTCTGTGTAAATGACAGTGTTGAACCTGCAATGCTATGAAATATATGGGAATTATGAGTTTTCAGCTACCTCAGTTTAGGCTATAAAGATCTATAAATAGGTCTAATAACCTATAAACATGAGGCAAACATTTCCAAAAGCCCCATGTCATTTCTACAGTATCAAGCAATCGCTATCTGTGTGACAGGTTGACACATGTGGAGCTACCAAATTAAACAGAGATATGGCCTGGGGTGGATGAGACTTAAAGCATTTGCTGTGGCGTTAGTTAACTCTAACGCAGTTACTTGAGCAGAGCTGGACTTAGACCAAAACGTAACTACACAGCATGATGTATTGCATTTCAACAGGTGGGTGGTTCTCCTTTACAACTTTTGCCCAGAGTTAATTTGTTCATCTTAACTTCTTAAGTACATACAAAAACACTTAATTTGCTTACTGTTGCTGGATTTCAGGTCACGGTGGATGATGGGCACCACGGCGTCCTCGTGGAGATAGTGCATTCCGCGTGCAATCTGCACGGCCCAGTTAACCAGGATGTGGGGAGGGATACGCCTTCCGGTCAACGCCCGGTTCAGTGTCCCGCCTCGGGCATACTCCATGACCAGGCACAGGTTGGGCTCATCCAAACACACCCCTTCTAGTTTAATAATGTTGGGGTGCTGTAGCATGGAGAAAAGTTTCGCTTCTTGTTTAACACTGCTGGCAGTGGCTGTTATATCCTCGTCTGGGTCTTGCCGAGCCGCCTTCACGGCGACCTCTTGGTCTTTCCATGTGCCTCGGTAAACTTTGCCAAATCCACCCACGCCTATGATCTCCTCCAGCACCAGTTCATTGAAGGGAATCTGGACAGGCGAGCTCGGGACTCGCTCTCGTACGCCCACCGACCCGCCCGCAGCGGGAAGACGGTAAATAGTGGGTTGGTAGGTGACATAGTTGGAGGGGAAAATCCCGACTCGGTGGTTGAGTTTACCAGTCCACCATCCCTCATCCCCAGAGATCGCGGCGTCCTTGGACAGGACCTCCACCACATCCCCTCGTCTGAGGCTGAGCTCGTCCTCGCCACTTGCCTCGTAGTCATACGCGGCTGTCCACAAGGATCGCGTTGGGCATAGCGGAGCAGAGTGAGCCCACGCACGAACTGTGGGGCAGTCAGCCCAAGCATGCTCCCCGGTCCCACCGCCGCCCGGCCGCCCTTCACCGTTTGGGAAAGCGGCCTGCGAGACATCCATTTCTCGGTGGCCGTAACGGCACCATAGGGTGCAGAGCTTTAAGGACAAAGTGAAAACTTTAAAACGGTAAAAGGTAGCATATTGAAAGCCACATACTGTCACTTCAATGAGACTAGCTGATGAGAACAGTGGGGAAAGTCCGTGCTGAACCTACGGCAGGGTCAGACCGTGTCCAAAGTCCTGTGATAGAGCGCGTCTATGAGCCTGTATCCACGTCGCCACTCCGGGAAAAGTGTATGAGGGTCAGTAACTAGCTACCGAAGCTGCTGGCTAAAGTTAGCCGAAATACTTTTTAGTTAGTGTCACCACTTAATGAGCTGACGGCTGAATAGCCATATAACGTTGGTAATTAACAAAGAATATCTTAAATCTCAAATAAATTCAGCCATAAGAGAAAAATCATTTCACTAAATAGTCTCTGCTTATGCTCAATGCTAACGCAAGCTAACTAAAGTTAGCTCTCAGCGATGGAGCTAAGTTACCAAGTATTTGCAGGTGCAACAAGAGGTGCACCTGCACCGTCCAACATCCAAATAGAGTGAGGCTCCGAGGGGCAGATTTCACTTTGAAAGTTGCCAGTAAATTTCATCCAGCCACCGAATCCCAAAACCTAAAGTCCGCTTGCTTGTGGACTTTAAACAGAAATTTCAACAGCATTCCAGACCTTTAGCTAGCAGGTTAGCTTAGCATAGATCAGCCCGTTGACTAATAAGGCAGCTGGAAAAGTTGCTCCTCTCAGCTATAAAATCGGTTATTCCCAAGTTTGTTCCTCCTTCAGAGATGTGAAGAGCAGCACACGGCTGAACACACAGACGGCACATCAGCATCCTTGATTTCGATGCAACCATACGTAAATTAGAAGATGGAAAAAATTCGCTCAACTTTAACCAAAACAACTCCTCACCGCCGTTGTCGCCAGACGGACTCAGACCCAGCAGTGCCTGTAAAGAGGATCTGGGGGCACGCTACTGCTGCGTTGGTTGTAGTGTCCTCTGATTGGTGGAGCCTGTGACACGTGACCGCCGCAGCAGTATAGGAGAGAAGGGAGGAGCCACTGTAGGAATGTGTGAGCAGAGCGCGCCTTCAGGAAAATTATGGGAATAGTGGACTGTGTAATCACACACATGCTTTTTTTTCCTTTTCTAAAAACACAAACCACGTGAACGAGAAATTTCAATGAAAGTAGCCTAATTTCATACAAATAATATACTATCAATATAAATGCTATTACAATTACTACTACTAATACTAGACAGCTTTATCGGTCAAGTTTGTTAGGCATACAAGGCATTTGACCCTAGTGGTTCTCAGTGAAGGATATTTACTCACACTTAATAGACCTGCTATATATAGGACGGCCTACATAGACAGCTACACAAAGACAATGATTTTTTTCGACAGCAATTGTAGCTAGTATAAACTCTACAGAGTCAACCTACTTAGTAGGATAATCCTGTCTTTGGCAGTACTATTATTATTATTATTACTACTACTACTACTACTTCTAATGATAATAATAATTGTATAAATAGTCTATTGTAATTGCCTATAATAACCCCTGTCACCTAGCCTATTTAAAAATGTATTGTAGAGCTACACTATTACGGCTACATGGATACTGACTATAGCCTACATATGCACACATAGCCTACGAATAGGCTACTGTATAAATAGCCTATACACGCACACATATTGTCAATAGGGTAATTCATCTTTACTGTAAGACTAATGATCTATAGAAACAACCTGGCTGCGTTTGTGCGCAGATACACACTGAAGGTGGGAATCATATAAGAGGAAAGGAGAGAGAGGAGGGCAGATAGGAGGAGTAGGAAGGGAGGGCAGGCGGTCAGAGTTGCGCATCTGTACAGGCAGCCAGAGAGGAGAGGGAGCAGGAGAGAGACGAACAGGACAGGATGAGGACCGCGGCAGAAATAATGGACCAATCGACAGTGGGATGGAAGGTAGACGAGAGGGCAACACCGAGGAAGACCGATGACTTATGAAAGAGACGGCTCAGGAAACGTGCTACATTCCCCCAACATGGAGGCGTAGCGACAGTAGCATGCATTAGAGAAGATCATTCCATTGTAGCCTAGCAGCAGCATCCGTCTGTCCAACCTGATCGGAGAGGAGGAGAGAGGAGGAGACATGGGCTCCCAGGTTGTGCAGACCCTGCGTCAGGGAGTATGGGCATCTCTGACAGGGGGCTGGTACCACGACCCGGATCAGAACAAATTCAACAACTCCTGCCACCTCTATCTGTGGATATTTCTCCTGATGTTGCCCCTGTCTCTCCATCTGGTGAGTTTTCGTTAGGGAACATGACGTTCAAGGCCGCGTAGGGGGTGTGAGATGCTCACGCTACCTACAGTATAGACGGACATTTTTCATGCGCCCTTTTATCCCACTTGGATATGCGGCTCTGCAAAAATCTAAGATCCTTCACGGTCTGGTTGCTATTGAAGGAATGAGTAGACTAGACCAAGCGACACTGTTGCAGTATTTTTCCTGCATTCAATGACTAAACGCTTGGCTGCTCTTGGGTGAAGCAATGTAAAAGCCAGAATAGGTAAATGTATGTATAGAGCACTTGCTGAGAAAGAAAAGCATTGTTGCTCTTACTGCTCCCACCTCAAATGAATTCTGTAGTCAAATTAAACTCCTACTTCTTATAAGGCACATCCATGGTGACCTTTGTGTTCCCTGTCCCCATCACTTTGCTTAAAACCTGATCTTAGCTGTGACAACATATGAATAACACAATTCTCAAGTGACATAGGCCTGCTTGTTGAAATGAATAGGTGCTGTGGTGGCAGTAGCAGCCAACAACAGCCATGCATAGTACTGAAAGGGTGACCATTACTGGATGTGTACATAGCCATAGTACAATAACAGCCTTGTATCTGAAGAAATAACTGTCTCAGTTTCTCAGCAACATTTTTATGAAACAGAGGTTTACCAGTACAGCAACCATTTTTATCCAGATCAGATAGTATACAGTATATTGCAGGTTATGATTATGTGATGCGATTGCTCTCCACATCTCTGCTCTTCAGTCTCAGTACAATAAACAAAGATTCATTTGTAGCTAATGGGTGTTCAGATAACCCCAAATTAACACCCATGAATGAGGGTTATTGAGGCAAATAACAGATTCTGACTTAGACTGCAAAAATAGAGAATTAGTAGTAGATTAGTATGGCTCATATTTCAGCATTAAGCAGATTCTTTGTCTTAATTGTCCTGTTTTTTTTTTAATGGGACATTCTTCTGGGGATCAATACATTTCATCAATCTACCAATTAAGTTAGCTCTTGCAGTTCACTGAGCCTGTAAGACGCTGGGGTAACGTGCCTGTGTGACCAAATGGGGCTTACCTTTAACAGAATTTCACCCACATACAAGAAGACAAGAAGAGTTAGCTAGTGCCTTTCCCTCAGGAACAGACAGTGTGAAGCACACGAGAGTCAGGGTATTCTAGAGGTGATGATACGAATACGATGAGGCTCTTCTCCTGTTCACAGGCCCTGCCCGCTACCACTATGGCTTTGAGTATCTATTGCACTTCCATCACGGCCTTCTTCATCCTCATCAAGATGGCCAACTACAGGCTGCATGTGATGTTCGACGAGGGCGAGGCGGTGGTCCGCAGCAGCCTCTCTGACCTCAGCAAGGCTCCAGAGAAGAAAAGCAATGCATCAGACTCCTGTCTGCCCACTGGCATCAGGTAAACTCTCACAGACACACTTATAATCCTGAAACAACAGTCAGTGAGATTAGTCTGAAGTAGCTGAAGAATTCCTTCTAAAGTCTGTGGATGTGGTCTTACCTTTGCGGATGTTTTGGGGACCATTCAGATATATATATGTATACATTTTGCTTTTTGAGACTCAAGTTGCTTCCATTCAGGCTAGTCATTGCAAAATCTTGACTGGAGTGCTAAATCCCTAATGATGCAACATAATTATTAACATGGAATTGTACATTTAGGCGTGAGACATCCTTTCAGAATAATACCACTAATTCTAAATATAACTGAGCATTTTACCATGCTTGACATCCTCTTTTTGCTCTCCTTTTACTCACCTTTTGTCAGTTCTCTCTGTCTTTGATCAGATTACTTTCATGATCAAGTGTCTCAGAGTGGTATACAAACTCTTTCTACTTCATTTCAAAGATTCAGTTCAGCTTTGGTGAATGAATGAGCTAATGAGGGAAGGTCAGTGATCTTCAGGCAGCCACTCTGCTCTGACACACTTGATCTGCACAGAGACCAAAAAAAGAAAATCCACTGCTTCCTATTCTGTGTATGAATGTATTTCTTTTAGTTCTTTTAATTTCTTTATAATCTTTGAAGTGTTTGTCGCCAGATGGAACAGTGAGACCAGACACAAGTATTTGTCCTACTACCTTTGCTTTACAAATCAATGTATTTAGTGTTCAAAACACAAGAGGCTGGAAAAGAAGGTCAGGTGATTTCTTCTGAAAGTGACACTTTGATGTATGGACTTCTATAGACTCTCCATCTCTGTCTCTTCTGTCTGTTGTCTTTGTCCAACAGAAGGAGCAGCACAGTCCCCGACACGGTTGCCATGACGATGCTGGCCCAAAAGCGCCCCAGTCCTGTCATCCAGGTGACAGTGAAACAGACTGAAACTGACCCAGGACTGATTGGAGTGGTGAGTGACAGTTAAAGGATGGACACGTGCAAACATGAGTAGAGAAAACATTGCGTTGACCTATATTATATCCAAATTTTAATTCTACGTTTCTGAATTCTCTTCCACGCAGGACTGCTCAAAGTCAGATGAGGTGAAGACCTTGAAAGGTAATACTGATCTTATTCTTCGTTTGAATAAGATACAGATGGGTGACTATTAAAGGCAAAACCTGGACAAATGAGTGCAGAGACTTGAGGTACCGCTGATGCACAATTAGTACAAATACCAAGAACGAATCAACAAAAACTGCTCCAATACAAACAACTTATTATACAGAGACATGTAATCTCAGCACATTGCAGATCTGTAGCAGAGCTGAGATGCTGTAGTTTTCTAATGTGGCAGGGCTCAGTAACTTCTGCTAACTCATCAGTCAGGCTCAGAACAGTTTCCTTGGGCAAATCTATCTAGCTGACGATGTCCTGACTGCAACAGCTTACTGCCATGTCTAAAACCTCTCTCTCATGAATCATGCTGAAATCCTGTTAACAAACCGCAAATTACAATACATAATTTCTTACTTTTTTGTCATCCTGTGCAGTGAGTTAGCTTGGAGGTATGGTGACTAACGTTTAAAGCTTAAATGAGTGTGTCTTTATTTTTGTTAAATCATTAGACTAAGAACAAAGTGGCCTAACACTAAAGATCAGTCTAAAGAATCTCAACCCAACTGAACATCTGTGGGAAATTCTGAACACAGCGTTCTTTACCACCGTCATCAAGACACCAACTGTATATTTTGGAAGAATAGTAGAGTTTTAAAGACTGATGGACAACTAAAACTGTTCTGGCTGCTTGTGGTGGCTCAAAACCTCACTTAGACGCATTGTAGCGGTTTTCCTTTTAGTTTGTCACCCATCTGTAAGTGCTGTTAATCATAGTTAGAAATAACAGTGCATGCTCTCTCAGCTATTTAAGGAGGTACATTTTTTGTCATAAAATTTCTTAAGAAATGTCTGTGGTGAGGAAGTCAGTATGACTACATCACATAGACAGTAAATCAGGTACAGATGATTCAATGTTTGGTCCTTGTGGAACAACAGGAGTTTCCCATTGGCTGGGTTCACTGGTATCTCATGGGTTGTTTTGCTAAATGTTTACCTTTTTACATATGCACAATTACTGTGGCACAGAACTAGCAGTCAGCCAGGTAGCCAGTCAGCAAGATCAGCTGACTTCTTCCAGTAAATTTATCACATAATGCATTGGTGATTAGTCAGAGCAAAGTCAGCTGATCAAAAAGGGGTATAATCGCTGTGGCTCATTGCATCAGGTGATTGTACAATAGTAACAATATGTTGGTATTTATTTTTAATAGCAGTAGAATTGGTTTGCCTTCTCCAGTTCATGTACATTATAGTGTGATTTTTTTTGTGTAGCAGAATAAGAGATTATAGTATTTCCTTGGCAGCAATTTTAGAATGAGAGAAGTTTCATTATTATTATACTTTAAATCTATAATTTGAATTTACATTTCATTTCATTCCAGGACAGGATGAGAGTGCTGCAGAGGAGAGGCCTTTGGAGGTAGGATTGCACCCAAGCCCAGAGCCTTCTCCAGATGATCTGTCCAGCCCTAATCCTGACCAGGCCGCCCCGCTGCTGCAGGCCCAGCAGAGGACCCCATCTAGAGCTGAAAGAGAAGAGATGAAGCATGGGTCTCCTAGTGGAACCGAGAACATGGATGTGGAAATAATAGAAACTGAAGCTGTGAAAAGCACAGACATCCAGAGGTCTATGGTGGGGCCTGACACCGAGCAGTCAGAGCAGGAACAAACAGCAGAGAAAGACTCAGAGCAACAGAGAATAGAGGAGAAAGAGTATGAGGATAAAGAGACTGCAGATGGGGAAACAGCTGATGAAGGTCTACCTCCCTCCAAAGGAAGCGGAGATGAGAGTGAGGAGGTAGGTGTGGAGCAAAAAGAACAATCTGATGCCAACGTTAACTCACTGGAGACTCCCCAGGACTGCCTGGATGATTTCCGTGATCCCATCCCAGGATCTCCTGCACAGGTAGGCCTTGCCTTACAGTCATAGAAGCAGGTATATGGATATGATTGCCAGGTTTTGAATTTGATGTATTACTACTGTTCTAAAAAGGTAATTGTATCAAGATGAAAATAATGAATCTGTCAGTGTAATTGACTATTCCTCATCATGAGGCATCATTCTCCATCTGTCTCTTGTGTTGTCTCTCAGGCTGAGCCAGCGGAGGAGACATACTGTTCTGATGAGATTGAAGTGGTTCTGGTAGACAACTCTGGACCTGGGCCTGCGTTAGCTCACTTGGATGACAGTAACACAGTCAAGATCATCATCACCATGAGCTGTGACCCTCAGATGTCTGCTCAGCTGGAGGAGAGCGTCAAGCAGAGCCTGTTGGAAAATGCACAGGTAAGAATCGTGTTAGACCTTAGTTTTAATGTTTAATGGTTAATGCTATAACAAGAAAAGTTTCAAGAAACCGAGAAATGTGTGTTTTTGTCATAGTCACAGCAATATGCTGCTATAATGTAGATATATAAGAACGCATGTGCTTTCATACTAAATAACAGATGTGCATTGTGGAAGCCATTGTTAATTCTTTTGTCAAAGTTTTTACTTTATTTCTACTGTGTTTACAGTATACTGTAGCTATGTATAGCTTTCAGAATAATGTTCCTGCAGTAAAACAGTTGATTGGAATTCACTGCTGAGTCCAAATGTCAAATCTTGAATGTTGTCACACATAAATCTCTTTACACCGAACCTGTTGGAGATAAAGGTGGAAATTCACTCTTCACTTGTTGCCATGTGTATAACAAACACATACACTTTAGGAGTCTGCATCAAGTTTCCATGAGCCCCCTTGCTCACTTGAACGGTAAAACAGGACTGTATTAGACAGTCCAGACATCTTTGTAATGCACCTGGTAGGTCTGCCAGTCTCAAAATGAATGCAGAAGTCAAGATATTAGATTCTAACTATATTGTATGATGTGATGATACACATGTTTATGGTTGTGGTGTTGTCATATTTAAGTGATGGTGAGTCTGACATGCCTGTGTGTGTCCTGCTAGGCTCAGAAGGATGCAGGAGAGTGTCACATCAAGATTCCCATCATCACCTTTGACTCCCCCAAGGAGGAGAAACAGGAGATAGAAGAGGGAGAAGAAGTATCTGGCTCAGAGGACGACCCCAGCCTGAAACAGCACCAGATAACGAGTCAAAGTGAAGAATTTCACCTGTGTCGAGAAACAACCAGCTCTGAGTCGACCACACTGGAGTGTCCGGACCCAGAACAGGAACATATTGGTACGCAAACGACTAATGACAGAACATCAAGCCCACAGCTGACTAATGATAATAGCTCATCTGGTATTGATGTCCACTCCCACCCTGAGGACACAGATCCTCTGGATCCCAACGTGGATTCACAAGGTTTCCTGCGTCTGCCGCAAGCGTTGGGTCGCTATGGGCCTGGGGGAAGGACTCACATCCGCGGGCTGAGCATGGACAGTGGGAAAGATGCCGTACTGCTCTCAGACCGCTCACACAACATAGTATGTTTAGCTCTGTTTTCATTTTTAGATTTTTGTTGTGGTTATCTCCGTGCATCTGTCCATTTATCCAGTACATACAAACATTTGTCTTTCTCTCAGACCACCATGACCAGTTCTAAGTCAGATCTGGAAGCGAAGGAGGGCCAGATTCCTAATGAATCCAACTTCTTGGAGTTTATTTCCCTGTTGGGGTCACTTAGTGCCAGAGGGGGAAGGGCCAGCACACAGGAAGAGGAGGGGCTGGAATGCAAACAAGAAGTGAGAGTTGTTGAAGAAAGTGAATCTCAGCAAGGTTTGTTTCATTACCTTCACTTTCTTCAAATGCTTTCAATTACTCTAACTAATTATTCCTTTATTCGGGTTAATAGTGTTTTTAATATTGTTGAAATGGGAGCTCCTCTGGTTAAACCTGCATTAATTGAGTTTTTGACCATTTGGTGGCAGCACAACAAGCTGTAACGAAATCATTGCCTTATTAAATTCATATGGTGAATGTGTTAGGAAAGTTGCCAATTTATACATCAAGCAGTTATTTTGCTTCTTGTTACCTGACAAATATAAGTCCTATTTTCACTCTCACGTGACCAAAACAGGTTGTGGCCCTTGAAACCAAAAGACGCTAAAACTCTCCACTTGAGAGGAACTACTGAGTTGGGTGACAAGTCTTTGTAGGTTCATCACTATTAGCAATCTATTTAATCGTTAACATAAAAATACTGATGACTGCAAGGATAGGATTTTATAAATAGCAAAGAAATATGACTTGCCTTACTATTAATTAGGGCTTTATATTTTGTTTTATAAAGTCACATTTCTGTTTCTGTCAACTTACCCAAAAACATTTCAATTTAATCTGTTTGCAGAGAGTCTGACAGTGACTACCAGACCAGATGAGATGATAACAGGGACTAAGAGGGACAACAAACCACAGAGACCAAAACCACCCACCAGTCTGCTAACTGACACACTACAGGCTATACCACACATACACATCCCTATACTTTCTCCTGACAGGTGCATAATCTTTAAAAAATATGCAAACAACAGAATTCACTCTCACACACACACACACACATTTACAGCACTTATACACACTTTTAGATTCAGGTTCCTGGCATTCTGAATCTCCAGCTGATTAAAGTTTCCTTTCTCCAGTCCACAGACAGACAGAGAGAAGGATCCGGACTATGATTCCCTGCCCTCGCAAACCTCTCAGTCAGAGAGTTCCATGCTTCAGGTCATCTGCAGACCAGAGGCTACCACTAAAGAAGAGGCCTACACCTTCCATACTGTGCATAGTAAGTAGCAAACCTAGACCAAAATTAACAGTTAATAATGTTTACAGTATGTGCATAATCGTTCCCATAGTTCCTGGAAATGTAATGTTCTTTGTGCTAGAGACAAACTGAGACAAGTCTGTAGTCAGAAGCAACAGTGACGTGTGACCGATACGCTCAGTCAGTGTGCTGGGACAGTCTGATAACACTTGGATCTTTTGCACAAATATACAGCGTGTGTGGGAGGCACTTTTAAAATACACTGAGACAGCTCAAAAAGCTGTGGGGATTAAATGGCAATATCCTGGAATGGCTTCTAGATGTTCAGCTGTTCAGTCAAGGCTCAGCCACAGATGTCTGTCTATAATGTGAAAAAATCCCACATCAGTTATTTCAGATTACTGCAAGTTTCATGTATGTGTTTATCTCACCAGGAGACAGACCTCATAAGCTGTATGCAGAGAGAGCTCTCAACTTGCCACTAGGAGCAGAGCTCATCACTGGCAACATGTGGTACTGCTGTCAAATCTATGTTATTCTCTTTTACTGTCCTTCTTCAACATGTCTTCCTTTAGCTGCAGTAAGCCTTTTTAACTTTAGTTTTTCGTTTCTTTGCTTTTCTTTTCCAATTCTTTCTTCCTGCTTGTTCTCCTCCACTACTTTCATGTGTTTTCATGTGTTTTGTGTCAGCCCCTTAACCTATTCTTACCTGAAGTAATCAGGTTTGGTCTACACATTATTGTCAGCCTGTTACCTTTGTGTGTCTTCAGTGACCTGCTGTCAACGTCTTCCAACTCAGAGTGTCAGGACGGCTTGGCAGGCGGTCACGTCGACTGTCCATTCCAACGACGTATCATCCCTGCACACAGGCTTCGGCCACGAAGGACGCACCCTGAGATCTTCCAGGTGTTCATCACCTTTTTCTCTTTTGTCCCACCTACCACTGTCATCATAATTCACTACCTAATTCAGTTTGCTAAGACTATGTGCATGGAGGCATTGATTTGAAGTCAGAGGTCTTTCAAATGTTTTTTTTTAGAGTTGATCTTGTGTTGATGTTGTGCACTCACTGTGTTCTCAGTTATTGTATGTTTAAAACCATGTAGCTAAAAAAACATCATGCTCTTTTTGTTCCTCGTATTACTGCATTTGGGTATAAATGATGTGTTTTTGTCTCAGGAAGAGGACTCTTTGGATGAGTCATCAGAGACCTCCACTCAGGAGAAACCATCCAGGAAGGTTTATTACAAACTTAAACTGTTTCCTGGGAAGTGGATCAACATTTTATATGATCGACTCACCCTGCTTGCTCTTTTGGACAGGTAATACAGTTCAATTGAGCAGTATTCCTTTTAATTACAGCAACAGCCCCCCTGCGGCCCTAGTTAGGATAAGCAATATATTGCCCAGGGTTTTATGCCTAACAAGTTGCTGAATTTGCTATTGTAATCTGTGTTTGCCTTTTGCATGTGCTGTTTTTCTGTAGAAATCGGGACATTCTGGAGAATCTAGTTGCAATCTTCATGGCCTTCCTGGTTTCCTTCCTGGGATTTGTGCTTCTAAATCACGGCTGCTTCAAAGACTTCTGGGTCTTCCAGTTCTGCCTGGTCATCGCCAGCTGCCAGTACTCCTTACTGAAGGTATACAAACATGTCTGTGGAACATAGTGGAACGTAGTGGATAGTACCTAAAGTCTACCTGTGTCCAGACTCTGAATCACAAGTCATGGGGTATGTGGTGGCTGTTGCTTACGAGGTAGGGCAGTCGTCTTCTGACCAGCAAGTTGGTGGTTCAACTCCCGGTCTCCCTGCATGCCTAAGTGTCCCTGAGCAAGACCCCGGTGGTTCGACTGGCGCCGGTGTGCGGCAGCCTCTCGTCATCGGTGTGTGAATGTGTGTGTGAATGGGTGAATGTGTATGATCTCCTGTAAAGCGCTTTGGCCAGTGTAACACACTGTGAAATATGCGCTATATAAATACAGTCCATGCCATAAACATGGTGTTGAGCAGGTCACCTGAATCTTTACTGTTGTGTGGTTTGAAATGTGATTGTTCTACATTAAATAAATAAATGAACTCACTACTGAAACTGACTTGCATCGAGGAATGAATGATGTGTGAACTCAAAGTGTGTCACAAAATGCAAATTGAAAATAAAACAAACCTCAGATGTGCCAGTTCCTCTTTGCTTTCAGTCATTTCTTCCCTTTTGATCGGGGAAGGGGAAATATTTTTAATTGCTTTCATGTTAATTTACAAGTTCAGTATCGATTTATGATTGTGGTTTTGTTTTCCAGAGTGTTCAACCAGATGCAGCTTCCCCAACACATGTAAGTTTAATATTCCATTGTTACTGAACCGCACAGGAAACATTACTGACAGACTTCTTGAAAATAATCTTATGAGCCTCCATGATAATTATCAATATTTGACAACTGTTCCCCTAAAGTGATACATGTTGCCAGTATTTGGCATATGAGGTCATGACTTTCAAAACAGTTCCTTTTTCCATATTAATAATTCTGTTGCGTTTTGACTGGTAGCACCGGGAGTAGAGCTATAGAGGATCTGAGCTCACAGATGAAGCAGATGATGTACTTGATATATAGGCATTTAGCCTAAAATGACCCAATGTTGTAGTAGAGTTTGTGCTATTATCTTGCTGTAGTTGTTATATTGATAAGTTGGAAATCTAAGAACCAAGTCTGTGTGTGTTCGTGTGTCTCCCCAGGGTCACAACCAGCTGGTGGCCTACAGCCGAGCAGCCTACTTCTGTATTTTCTGTGCCCTGATCTGGATGCTGGAGCTGCTGCTGAGGCAGAGCGACCTGCCTGTTTCCACCCTGTATGGAGTCACCATTGTCTGCCATGATGCACTACGCTTCTTACGAGATCTCCTAGTGGGTACGGAGCTCACAAGGGACACACAAATGCACAGATCACACATGTATACTTCAACACAAACTTTGTTTCAGAACTACTCTTACACATGATCTTATTTATTTGTCGTTGTTTAGTATTTTGTTTTGTCCCCTGATCAAATAATAATATGTCCTTCACAGAGAATAAAAATGCCTTTTGTTTTATACATTAAACAGGTTTTACCTACTGCTTCCCAATTACCTTCCTGGTGGGCCTTTTCCCTCAGATCAACACCTTCACCATCTACCTGCTGGAGCAGATTGACATACACTTTTTTGGAGGAACAGGTTGGTAAATCAGTTTCTATATTTACAAACCATAAAACTCCCTCATGCTTATGTTTCTCATTGTTTATGTGTCTCAGCTGCTACGAGTCTCATCTCTGCGATCTACAGCATCCTGCGCAGTCTGATCGCCCTGTCTCTGCTCTACGGGTTCTGCTTTGGAGCTCTCAAGGTAGAACTTATAAGTAGGGAATGTGAACATGGTCCTTTCTCCTCTACTTTCTTCTCCATGTCTTTGTGGTTTTTGAACTGGATTTGTGTTCAAGGCCATACTGTTGGTTATAGAACTAGAAGAAGACAGGGAGTTCAGTGGTAAGTAGAGCTTCAGCAAAGTACAAAGTGTTCCCAGTCATCCTTCAGACGATACTACGAGATTGCAACAGAAACTTTGAAACTGTAGTTTTAAAAGGTATATGATGGTATGATTCTCACTGGTGTGTGTGTGTGTGTGTGGTTACAGGAGCCGTGGGATGAGCAGCACACCCCAGCTCTGTTCTCTGGTTTCTGTGGCCTTTTGGTGGTCTTCTCCTACCACCTCAGTCGACAGAGCAGTGACCCTTCTGTACTGCTGTAAGACCCTGTGTGTGTGTGTCATGCTTGCATACAAACATTGTCTGTGGTGCATGGAAAAAGAGGGTTGAATTTACTGATAAGAGAAAATGACAGATGGTGAATGTGTTGACTGTACTTCAGAAGAAAAATGTTTGTTGAATCATTTTCAGTCAAGCAGACAGTTAACTGTGAACATAAAATGGTACATAATCCTCATAAAGGTTGTTCACTTTTACCAATTTGGCTCAAGTAGTTTAACTTGTTCAGAATATAGGATAAGAACACAAAATGCAATTGTTCCATAAATTATATTTTACATATAAAAACTTACATTGTTCATGTGTATTTGTGATAAAGAAAGATTTTTATTTATTAAAATATTAAGGTTTTTCCAATGTTTTCTGCTGTTTTCAGTTGCTTTAGGGTTATGACAAAAATCTGCTCATGTTATTGAACAAATAAGGTCCTCTTGTTCCTGATGCCCCGTTTTCCACATAATATTTTTAATTACAGATCCCTGATCAAGTCGAAGATGATGCCTGCATTGGTGGAGAGTGAAGAAGAGGAGGCGGAAGATACAGACATCAAAGACCCACTACCTGAAAAACTGCAGAATTCTATGGTAACTAAAGGTTCATGTGTAGAAGTAAATTGATGTGATGTAGTTTTGTTTCATCGGTAATGTTGTTATTGAATGATGATTACTTTGGGTTTGCCATTAGCTCCAGGGTGAATTTTACTCCTCTGAGCTTTAATATAACCATTTTTTACTCTGTGAATTGTAGCAGCCAGAGCTCATGCATTATATTAGCTCATACCAGTTCTCAATAATTATCGTCAGAAAATTAAAACTCATTAACACGGTGGACCTGTGTTTGTGAAAAGGCAGACTGTTTTAAACTCAGTGTTGCTGCAAGAGAGATAATCAAACTTTTTTTTTTGCCATTTACTGTATTTTGTGTGATTACAGGAAATTATGTCACTGAATTTTTTTCCCAGGGCCAGACAGGGTCCAGTCCTCACCTACACAGTTCATTATCTACTGTCAAAAATCAATCAAGATCTAAACAGTCTTTTGCAAAGTATAAGATTTATTGAGGAAAAAATAAAAAGCACCCTAAGAGCATCTGTTTCCAGTTCATGGAGCAGAACAACTACAGAGCTTGAGACATTCCTTTTATACCCTCTATAGCTCCTCCTTGCCCAGGGCTTGCTTCATCCTACCTTTCTCTTTGGCCTCCTTAAGGATATACTATTATTTCATTGGTCAGTATAGGTCCAAAAATGTCCACACATGGCAAATGCAAGTCATGCGGACTCCTTCAGGTTCAAGGAGGCTAGGTTAAAAGATTGACACTCCTTGAATGGTGTCAAGGCCATAATCCTTGTTCCATCTGGGGAGCCATCCAAGCAATAGACGGATAGTTTTTCCTCTCTCTTGCTTGGCTACTGGGACCATCTCACAGTCAACCTGTTCTCACCTCCACCTGTATCACCCTCATCATCCTTGTATGCATTAAAACAAAGCAAATAGAAGCAAAATAAAGCACACAGAGCAAATGTGTTTTAATTCAGTATGGATTTTTAATGATTGCAGCTCTTCCTCCTTGTTTTGCTCTGCAGAAGGAGATTCTGCTGTCAGATCTGGTGGTGTGTTCCGTCGCCTACATCCTAACCTTCGCTATAACTGCAAGTACTGTATTTCTGTCTCTCAAGGTGAAATTCTCAATTGTTTCCTCTCTTTAAATGTTGCCTTTTATTTTGATCTTTGTTACAGTCTGCAGTGCCAAGCGTGATATATTTGAAACATTAGGTTTGTTTATACTCAACTTGTTCTCAGCCCTTTGTGACCATCGTGCTGTACGCTTTGGCGGGGACAGTGGGGTTTGTCACCCACTACCTGATCCCACAGCTGAGGAAGCATCACCCTTGGTTGTGGATCTCCCACCCAGTCCTCAAGACTAAAGAGTTCCACCAGTTTGAACCCCGAGGTCAGAAAGCCTTTTGTATATAGGCCAATGTTGTCTCTTAATTAGTAGCTAAACCTCTAGAAAATAAGCAGACGGTGAGCCCATCCTTCATGAGCCTGTGGATAATGTGAATAATAGAATAATTTGCTTCTGGATCCATATCAGCAGACAGTACAAATTCACATAGTGATAGACAGTAATGCTGATTTGTGGTCCAGCAGTTTGATCCACACTGAAACATTTTTTTGGATGAATTGCTATAAAATTCAGTACAGACATTTGTAAAAACCTTGGTGATCCCCTGACTTTCTGTCTAGAGCCAACACCAAGTCCAAATTTCAGTTTGTCATACTTTCCATTATGACCAAATACCTGGAAAACTAATACCATTCTCATCAGCCTCAGCTGTACTTTGTGTTTAGAGCTAATTACAGTACCAGTCAGCATGCGCTGCTGTGCTTTAAGCTAAAAGTGGAGCCTCACAGACTCTAAGTCTTGTTGAGAAAGAAAAGGAGTCCCTCTATTCTTGTTTGTGTTACAGAGGATGCTGTGCTAATGTGGTTTGAAAGATTGTACGTGGGGCTCCTCTGCTTTGAAAAGTATGTGGTGTACCCCGCCATTATCCTGAGCGCACTCACTAATGATGGCTTCGCCCTTAGTCACCGCAAGAAGCTAGGAATTCAGTGAGTGGACACATACAGCCACAGACACCAGGCATTACATTGCACACATACCACCTCTAGATATCTTGCAGTGCGAGTCTGTCTGTTCATCAGAGACTGCTGAATCTGTTGTCTGAACTCTTGTTTGTGCCCTCTCCAGCTGTGATGTTCTCCTGACAACAGTTGCTGGACTGAAGCTCCTGCGTTCATCCTTCTGTGACCCCAGCCTCCAGTTCCTTACTCTGCTCTTCACACTCATCTTCTTCCACTTTGACTGTCCACATGCCTCCGAGAGCTTCCTGCTGGACTTCTTCGTCATGTCTATTGTGTTCCACAAGGTGAGAGAGAGAGAGAGAGAGAGAGTGTCTCAGTGATACAGCAGATGCATTCAGAAACACACAGTTATCTCTCACACACGCAGTTTCGGAAACAGAAACAAACTCAAAGAAAGAGAGAAAGAAAAAGACGAGAGCTGATGAGAAGCTGGTGGTTTTACAATAATTGTGTTTTATTAATTTGGCAGAGCACTGTTGACAATTGAAGTTGAGGAATGAAATAGTGTAGATATTGCTTTATTTGCTTTGTGACAAAGGTTGTGTGGGATAAATAACAGACTCTAATATTAAATGTTTTAGTGTCCCTGTAATACAGCTGCTGTTCTGCTGAGCTTTGTTAACAGTCTCTCTGGTTTTGTTTCTGTCCAGATGCGCGAGCTGTTGTTGAAGCTCCATTTCATCCTGGTTTACATCGCTCCCTGGCAGATCACCTGGGGCAGCGCTTTCCATGCCTTTGCTCAGCCATTTGCTGTGCCTCGTATCCTTTCTATGTGACCTATATGTGTGTCTGTGTGTGAGACAGTGCATCAGTACCTGCTTTTTTCCCTTTGACTGGTGTGTCCAGACTCAGCCATGTTGCTGCTCCAGACACTGCTCACCACTGTCTTCTACACCCCGCTGGCTCCCTTTCTGGGCAGCGCCATTTTCATTTCCTCTTATCCACGGCCCATCAAGTTCTGGGAGCGAAACTACAAGTAAGGCCCCAGCATTGTGAGGGAGCGTGGACTGGCTTTCTCAAACAGCGTGTCACTGAAATGTGAAGAACTCTAGAAAAGCAACAAATTAAAGAACAAGTGTGGGGATACTCTGTTTTTTTTTCCTATTGTCACCAAATCCCATGAAGAAACTAACCCAACAATGAGTTAATCATACTAAGAAGTGTTGTTAGTCAGCCTGCTATAAAGTGTTCCTCTGTGCCACAGATGCCTACTGTGGTCCAAACATTATTAAAGACTCACCAGTGGGCCACACTGCTGCACTAGCTTCCTTATCACGAACATGCTCATTATAGTTTATTTAGAGCTAATCTGGCATTCACTGTGCTGCCACTGCTGTTATTTACAGCTGCAGTAGTGTAAACAGTTTTGTTCCTCATACAGCATTGAATAGGATACAGTGTATGATATTCAAGATGCCATATTATTGATCAGTGCTGAGACACTTTACAATGGCATTGCAATTATACTGTAAAGTATTTACAGTGGATTGCTTGTGGGTAAATGGTACCTTTTGAGTTATGTTTGCACTGAAGAGTCTGTGGGATTTTTACTTTTTTTCTGTCTTCCGTCCTATGCAGTACAAAGCGTATTGACAACTCCAACAGCAGACTGGTGTCCCAAGTGGATAAGGAGACAGGTATGTTTAATTACAGGCCACATTTTTTTCCATTTTATTTGTGTCAATACTGTGACAGTGTCCACCCATCTGACTGTTTGCTTTCCCGCTGTCCTTCACTTGCAGGGTGTGATGATAACAACTTAAACTCCATCTTTTATGAGTACCTGACTCGCTCCCTACAGCATTCACTTTGTGGTGACCTTATGCTGGGTCGATGGGGCAACTACAGTGCCGGAGACTGTTTCATTCTGGCTTCTGACTACCTCAATGCCCTGGTCCACCTCATTGAGATTGGCAACGGGTTGGTCACCTTCCAGCTGAGGGGCCTTGAGTTCAGAGGTATAGTTGGACCCTCCTTCCTTCCTTCCCTCTGTTTTTCCATCTGAATGAATGAGATGCTGCCTGGCCGTTTACCTCCATCTCTCTCTACCCCAGGTACATACTGCCAACAGCGAGAGGTGGAAGCCATCACAGAGGGTGTTGAGGAAGACGATGCATGCTGCTGCTGTGAGCCGGGCCACTTGCCTCACATGCTGTCATGCAATGCTGCTTTCAACTTGCGCTGGCTGGCCTGGGAGGTGATGGCCACCAAGTATCTGCTGGAGGGTTACAGTATCAGTGAGAACAATGCCGCTACCTTGCTGCAAGTGTACGACCTGCGAAAGCTGCTCGTAACCTACTACCTGAAGGTATGTTTCCATCTCAAACTGAAACACACAGGACAAGGGAGTACAGTATGTGTGTACACAGATACACTGCTTTATGGAACTTCATGGACAGGTTTTTAGATAACTGTGTGAAAGTTGGGGATGTGAAGTATTATACTGGACATACCGGCATATTGCCAGCTTACTATGGTGGATATAGGTATTTATCATTTCTTTAGATTCATCATTTCTTAGATTTTTAGGTGATCTTTTATTGTTATTTTGAATGCTCCACTTTGACTTCCCTGTGTTATACTGTGCAATATTAAAAACATTAACATGACAAATTTACATTTAATTTGTTTAATCTCTTATATGATATTGAGGAATATATGTACAATGCAGTTACAGTATATTTGTAGTACAGTGCATTTGAGTTTAGCTTCCATGACTTTTTAGTTTTTATGGATAAAATCATCATATCGAGATTATATGAGGTTTAACCAATGTCTAGATTTCATACCAGCAAATAATTTTAGATGGCTTCTTTTTTAAGCTGTATTAGTGGCATGGCTCTGTGGATGGAAGTGTTGGTTGGTTAGAGAGTACATTTTTTTCTTCCCCCCCCCCAGAGTATTATTTACTACCTGGTCCACTCCCCCAAACTGTCCACCTGGCTCAAGGACGCCACCATTCACGAGGCTCTGCAGCCCTATACCAAGTGGCACCATATTGAGCGTGACCCTCAGGTCTTCAGCGTGAAGATCGATGAGGACTATGTGCACTGCCTGCAGGGGGTGACGCGCGCCAGCTTCTGCAATGTATACCTGGAGTGGATCCAGTACTGCGCTGGGAAGATGGAGACGGTACATCACTGAAAGACTGTTATCAAAGCAATTATGCCCTAGAGCAGCTAAGTGGTATTCAGTTGCTGTTTATCATGGGTACAGTGAAGAATTATTTTCATTATTGATTAATAATTTATTTCTTCCTTAAGCCTTCCTTTACAATGTCAGAAAATTGCCACAACTGTCTTTTGCCCATACACTTTTTGTGTGTGTTTTTGTGTCCAGCCTGTGGATAGTGATGAAGACTCTCCCCTGGTGACTCTGTCTTATGCTCTGTCCGTCCTGGGGAGGAGATCCCTTGGGACAGCATCACACAACATGTCTAACAGGTGAACCTATTTCAAGCCAAAGACCAACTCAAACCAAGACAGACTTCTTTGGAAACTCAACCTTGTTGTTGTACAAATTACAAAACCCTCTGAGACAAATTTGTGGTTTTGAATATTATATTATATGAAAAAGTGACACAAATTTATTGAGTGTGGATTTATTGCTATCAAAATAACACCAAAAATATAATACTTATAGTTAAAGCCTAATTCTGGTTTATTTTGATCTGGAATATTTCCCATAAATGTGACTACGATAAATCTATGGGTTATGCTTACTCTAGCACAGAGTTTTTAATATCTATATAAATGCAAAAAATGTGCATAATTGTAGCTACTATTTTGCTGGATGCATAGGTGATAAAATCGGTTATGTATGAAAAAAATATTAAGTTCAGTTGAAATACAGTATCATTAGACATTTGCCTGCAGTTAGACAGATACACCAGAAGGGGGCATCAGCAGCTAACTCTTTAAACATCCAGACAGATAGCTGTCACTGCACTCAAATGACTTTTTTGTCTTTGTGTGGTGCATGTTTTAAAAAATACTTTACAGTTTTATAACCTCTCGTTCTTTCTTTTCCCCTCAATCCCCACCACATAGTCTGGAGTCATTTCTGTACGGTTTCAACACTCTATTCAAAGGCGACTTCCGCATTGCCACGAAAGATGAGTGGGTTTTTGCTGATCTGGACCTCTTGCAGAAGGTGGTAGCTCCTGCAGTTAGAATGAGCCTCAAACTGCATCAGGTACTATAAAGTACATTGTATTGTTTTACATGTAAATGTGCCTTTTGTCTGCTTCTGCTTGTGTGTCTGTCCATATTTTTTTTTCTCTTGTTCTCTTTCTTTGTTGGAGATATCTTATTTTGACTCTGTAAACCACCTATTGTACATACATAGACAGTTCTGCATAATTCTAGGTTTCTAATAATGTATTCACCAGGGCCATTTCTCATCCCTGTAAGTAGAAACCTACCTGAAATGTGATTACATTTTAGAGTGCTACATCATGCCTTTCCTGCCTTTCCAGGATCACTTCACATGTCTGGAGGAGACCGAGGAGGCGTCTATCCTGTACGAAGCCATCACAAACTACCGTAGCAGCCTGGTCATCTGCCACGAGAGTGACCCCGCTTGGCGTAAGGCAGTGCTGTCCAGCCGTGACACGCTGCTCACATTGAGACACATGATCGACGATGGCACGGACGAGTACAAGATCATCATGCTATACAAACGCCATCTCAGCTTCAAGGTCATTAAGGTAAAAGGGCTGAGGGGGTTGATGGAAATAGAGCGTTTGTATTTGTGAGAAATGTTTCAATTTTCAGTGAGTATGCACACGTGTGGTATAGATTAAATGCAAACCTGTCTCTCTGTCTGCTCAGTGCATATAGCATGACAAACCTGCCTAAACATGGACAAGGTTTTAAAGTTCATCCTAAAGGTGTACTACCAAACAACCACCGCTCTTTCCTTGTATGACAGAGCACAAATGTGTACTTGTGGTCATAAGCGGTTTCAGTTTCACTATTGCTAAATATTTGTTCAAATATTTTATCACAATTTTTTGGCCAGTGTAGGATTTAAAGCATTAATTATTAAATTAAAACATTAATGCCCTCTTGTTTTACTGTGAGCTCATGTATAAACTCACCTCTTGTCTTAATTCTCTCTCTGCAGATCAATAAAGAGTGTGTGCGAGGTCTGTGGGCGGGTCAGCAGCAAGAACTGGTGTTTTTACGGAACCGAAACCCAGAACGCGGCAGCATCCAGAACTCAAAGCAAGCGCTGAGGAACATGGTCAACTCGTCCTGTGACCAGCCACTGGGATACCCCATGTACGTGTCAGTCACAGCTATGCTGCCACATTTTCAGTGCCAGATGGGCAGTGTGGTGCTACTGCAGCATCATGAGGTTCAGGAATGAAAGGCTGTATTCACAGAAATATTACTGTGTTGTTGTTCCCTGCATGTTTGCAGTAGGCATGGTTTTAAAAATCAGTTTGGACTGAGGTGTCTAACTTCCCTGTCTTTACAGTTTTTGTCCCTTGCGTCTGATTTATTTTCTCATTTCTTAGGTATGTGTCACCACTGACGACATCATATGCGGGAACACACCGTACCCTCCGCAGCATTGGAGGAGGGGCTTTAAGTCTGGACGCCATTCGTTCCTGGCTGTGCTCTAAATGGTTACGGTTAGTACATTGTTTCCCACCTCAGTCAATAGTGCACTTTCTCCTTCCACCTCAGGCTCAGACTCCCCCTGAAGTTTATTTTTATTGTGCTTTCCAGTTAACATTCTTTTATGCTCAGTTCAGTTCCAGGAACAACAATCCATCTCTCAGAGTTGTTGAATAAGACATTCTTGGAAAGAGGCTCGATCTAATTTATTTGGTATCATTTATAGTAAAAACTTAAATTCTGCTTATAATCATTTAACCTCCGAGGCCATGTGTAATTTCAGCTGGAGGTTATTGCTCAGAGTATTCTTTGTCTTATGCAAGCTAAGATGTAAACAGGGTCAACAAAACATCTTTTCACTGAGTCACTAAATAACTGCTGTAAACACAGCCTGTAAATAAGTTGTATGAGGTTGATTACCTGCAGCGTTTTCCAGCACAGTATCGTCCTTGATTAGTTTCTATTTGTGACTGCTGTTCTCTGTTTTTTTTTAATGCTGTTTCTTCATGCACATCAGTGGCAGATGTTGTCATGATTTTGGGAATGCTTCCCTTGACATATGAAATTTTGAAAAACCTAAAAAAAAGCCAGACCGTTCTCTTCACTCACAAATGTCGCCAGCTGTCACTGAACTTGACCAGCTTTGTCGTAGTAAATGCAGGATTTGTAAATGCACTCTAGTTGCTGCAGAATTTAAGTCAGTTTTCAGGGGGCTGATGTTCTTTTCTCTGCACTCCAAGCTGTTTTTGTACCATATTTTTGCCTCGTGATTTTTCTTAACCCCTGTGTTTGTTTACATTATCTTTATTCCCACATTGTTCTGAATCAGCCTTTATTTTTATATAAATATTTTTCCTCTGACCTTATTAAAACCCAAAATGCAGAAAACTATTGAAATTGGACGTTTTACAGCTGCTGTTTTGCAGTGGGCCTGCAGGACCCCAAACACACAAACATTAGGGCTGAGGTAATGTGCAAGAGGCAGAATGTTGTGATGATATATGAGATGATGGTAACTTTATAATGTTCAACTTCAAAATGGTGTAAATCATTCTGGATAAAGTGCAAACCAGCGTAATGTTCCTGCTGCCCGCTAACTGAGTGCTTCTCTGTGGATTTATAGATATTGACTTGGTGGAAGTCAGTGCTAGGGAGAGACTTTGCTGCCAACTTAATGTAGTTTTAAAAACATGTTCAGAGACAGCGGGAGTGCACACTGGGTTCCAGAGTGGGAGGGCTGCCAAAAGCCTTGACTTTCTGCTGTTGCAGCAGTGTTGATTCTTGCTCCCTTCCTTCTTCTTCTGGCGTTAGATCCTTCCCTCGCTTCCCATCTTGCTCTTTATCCTCACATTTGTTTCTCATCCTCTTTTACACATTACCTTTAGCTTATCGTGCAAGCTTTGTATTAACCTCTGCAGACCAGCTAATGGGGTGTGTGAATGTGTGTACCTTTGTGACTTTCTCTTAGGCTTCTTAGGGGTGACGTTTTCCTTTCAGAGTAGATTAGATTGTTAATTCTGTTTCATTTGCCTTGAGTTAAAGGTGTTATCTGAATTTCCTTAATTAGCCCAGGAGCCAAGGAGATGGACCACACCTTGACAGCCAGAACACATTTAACTACTGTAATTTAAGAGGAAGACTGCATTATTATGTGCCACATATGCTAACACATCTTTCTGTGTGTGTGTGTGTATATGTTTATGTGCATGTGGTTAACCAGCTGGGATAGGCTTGCTAAATGTTTTATGGCTTTTTGGAAGTTTTTGCGCCTTGCATTGATGAATGAATAAATGAGAGGTGCATGTGTGTCCTGTAGGGTGCGTAAGGACAACCTGACTAGCTGTAACAGCGGTGTGAACATGGATGATGTTGACTGTGGTGCTGGCGGCTCGTCCTCACTGAGTCAAAACCGCCCATCCTCCGTCACATCCAACAGCCTGAGCCTCTGCCAGAACAGAGCCAGGACAACACACAGCCACAGACATCACAATTCAGGTACAAACCAATACACACACACACACACACACACACACACACACACACAATCTTCATATATGCACAGGTACCACAGTGTATTTTTATTCTCCTTTAAAGCAAGACCACATAGCTTTTAAAGTCAAATGATGCATTCTTACTCTTACAAAAGAAGATTTTAATTCATGACTAAATAAATGCAGCCTTGCTCAGTCTGGTATAACCAGTAGCTTACACTAAGTGGGCTTATGTTAGCAGCCTTTAAATAGATACCGCTGTTTGGCTATCAAAATAGTTGCAGATTTTGTGTGTCTGTGTGTTTGTGCAGCCAGGAGAGAGTACCGCAGTCGGTCAGTGCAGCCTCAGAGTCAGCGTCCCCCTGTCAGCAGCCAATCGGGGCCCAACCTGGACTCAGGCTCCGCCCACGGGCTCGTTCAGCGTCTGTCCAATAGTCAGCTGTCCTTCAACACGTCCATAGCCTCTATATTCTCCCAGGTATATGCACATACATTAATCGGCCTACTTTGTTCAGTTTGGGCTTATACTATGAGAATAAAGTGATAATTGGATCTGTCACTCTCTTCAGGTCCCTCGTCTCTCAGGAGCAGGTGGGATCAACTTGCAGCTCCAGGCAGCGCAGCATCAGCAGCGCTCCAGTCAGGTAGGAGCTTGTTACACCTCTGTACTGTGCACACACACTTTGTCGGCTAACGCACTACAACACATGGTTGTCAGATGAATATTTCAAAACTTAAATAAGATGTAAGAAAAACAGTGTTTTCAGTTATTATTTTGAAATTTGATTTATTCACTTAAATTCAGTTTTATTTGTATCGCGCCAATTCACAACGAAAAATCTGGGAGAAATATGACCTCTCTTGCTAGTTCCTGTCAGTACTCTGGCTGCAGTATTTTGGATTAACTTACAGTAGTCCAGCCTGGAAGTAACAAACGCATGGACCGGTTTTTCAGCATCACCTTGAGAGAGGATGTTCTTGATTTTGGTGATATTGCGCAGGTGAAAGAAGGCAGTTCTAGAGACTTGGTTTACATGTGAGTTAAAGTTTGAAATAACTCCCACGTTCAAGGTGCCTAGGTTAATCTAGAAATGAAGTGGCTGCCTGAGACATGTAGTGAATGTACCATAACCATGCAATTAAAGGAAAATGAAGAGAGAGAACAAGTGGTTCAAGAGGAGGAATTCTGTTTATGAGCTGCCATTACAAGATCATCATGCCACAACATCAGTTCTGTATGTTAATAAAACTGTCATTTTTAGCAGTAAAACCTGTGAATTGCACAACATTTTACTGTGCAGACACTGAGTTAATGTTACCGCTACAAAGCAGAGGTACATGCTTTCTTCTTTCTCATTATCATAACACCTCATCCGGTGCCTTTCCCCAGGTCTCCTCGTCCTCGTCCACTCTCAGCCTGCTGTTTGGGAAGCGTAGTTTCTCCAGCGGTCTGGTTATCTCTGGGCTGTCCGCTGCTGATGGGGGCAATACCACAGATACACAGTCCTCATCCAGCGTCAACATCACCATCGGGCCCTCACACAGGTCCAGCAGCAGGGCCACACAGGTAGGAAGCAAACACTGAGTAATGTCTGAAGGCTGCAGCCTCCTCATACAGAAAAAAGAGGTCCTCGACTCCTTATCCTTTTAACAACTATAAGAATAGTTCAGCATTTTGGCACATAAGCCTCAGCTAATTGTTGTCTTTACAGATTATATAAACAGGATATAATGAGCTTTAGAGGGGCTGGTGGACGGATAGTTTTACCCTTAGACTGAGCCAGGCTGGCTTCAAATTTAGCACACAGACATGAAAGTCAGATTGGCAAAGTGCATAAACCCTCTGGAGGCTTACACTTGTAGTCCACCTGGGTTACTCTTTCCACCGAATACTTTAATGTCCGAAGAAGCTACAACACTGATTACACCTCACAGTTTAAGGGATAAAATTATAAGTATGGCAACAACCTTATCAAAGATTTTGTGCAGTGAGAAAATAAAAACCTACTTGCTGCTATTTTAATTTGACATGGGATGCAAAATAGCATAAGTGCAAGACAGGAATACGGCCAGTAAACCAAGAGTATTACTCTAATGCGCCTTTATGCCCCTGCTCTCTTCCGCTCTTCGTTAGTGGACATCAGAGCCATATGAAAGTATAGATGTGGCCGGTTCCAGTGCCGTCATCACAGTGAAAGACGGCATGCAGTCAGGTGGCCAAGGCTGCAGTCAGGGATTAGACAAGACCCAGGAGGATCCAGCATCTGCCTCAGCATCCCTGGAGGCAACCAGTCAATGGACAGTCTGAGAGGGTGACAACACACACACACACACACACTCATAACTATATACAGAGAGGACTGTGAAAAGTTACAGCTATACACAAACATAAAAAAGATTGTATGAGCGAGCATCCACATGCACAAACCTGTCTCCTCTCCCGTCCTCAGCATGTGGTCTCATCCTGTTGTCTGAATGTAAACACGTCTGAAAACATGATCTTGGATGTGGCTGATGAATTAAAGAAGTTTGTAAATGAGGTTGCCTTTTTCTACCTTGAGTCATGTCACATATTGGTTAATGGTTTTTGTTTAAATGTGTTCATACTTATCTTCAGAACAATTTCAGGTTCATCTGTGATCTTTTACTGGATATGTAAAACCGCTGAACTCCTGGGGGGAAAGCTGGGGATCACCAAAGTAAGCAATGGGGAACCATGAATGTCCGTACACAATAACCTAGCAATGGATCCGATCGTGGCTGATCATCTGGACCAAAGTGATGGGCCAACCGAACAACAAACTAACATTACCATCCCTTAAGCCAAAGCACCACCTTTTCATAGCACGTTATTTTTGGCTGATAAAAGCGTTGTGGAAATCTCTATATTTGTAGAAGTGCAAATGAAAACCTAAATAAAAAAAAGCACCCTCACAGCACAATGCTGATTAAAACTGTGTAAAGAATCTACAAGTTGCAGCCTATCTCCCACAGCCAGTCAAAGAAAGAGTCACATTTGGCAAAAATCAATTAAGTATTTATTGTAAGTTGTTACATTTAGATTTCTTTCTCTAGCAGCACTATTTAAATTACAGATATTCAAGGGCAGTTACCATAGATTGGAGTTTTTTTTCTTAATGCAAGATTTCATCCTGTAAACAAAGAGACTCAACTGCAGATCAAAATGTACCACAACTGAACATGCTAACATAACTCCAAGTTAAAGGCTGATGAACAACATCTTTTTTTGTCTTTTGAGACAAAAATAAAAACAATTAGTGAACTAAACCTCCTTTTAAAATAAATTAAATCAGTACAAAAATTAAAAATAGGCAACGGTTGCTTTTGTTACACAGTTACAAGTTCTGACAGATCTGCTGTGGTTGCTTGTAGTCCACATCAGACAGGCTTCAAAAGGTTGTCTGTCAGTTATATGTTGACAACGTATATGTGGATGATTCAGAGAGATGACAAACCCACCACAGCAATGTGAAAAGACTAACAACGTGTTTTGGAACATATGTAATAAATGCAATTATACATTCCAACAATTTTGACCCAATCTAGCCACTACTGTTGTACTTGCTGGGACAGTTGTGTCCCAAACAAAACCCAACCCAAACAAAACTTTACACGGTACATTTATTTTCTCTCTTTATTTTTTAATGACCTATAGACATTTGGGAAATACACTTATTCTCTCTGCTGAGATGAGAAGATCAATACCGCCACCAAATTTTGTTTTTGTACACACCAAACAAATGAGATAAAGATCTGTGCACGTTGGAGATGGAATATGCCAGGCTAGCTAAGCTAAGCTAAGCTAACTGGCTGCTGGCTCTATCTTCATAGTTGGCACACAGGTAAAAGTGGTATCCCTCTTCTCATCTAATTCTCATAAAGCAAAATGAAAGTGTATTTCCCAAAAGAGTCAAACTCTTTCTCCACACCCATCATGTTTTAACTACAGTTTCACTCGGGTATTGTAAATGTATTCACCAAGTTGTGTATTAAGGAAAACAATCCACATTTTCTAAACTGGACTTGGGTGTAAATCTTTCTTTAATCTTGATTCTACTGTTCTTGGTGTAAACTACAGTCATGACCGTATTGTACCATCATGCAGAGAATTGCCAATACCAACATAATTAAATGTTTCTCATAATGTACAAATCCCTTAATGCTCAGTGCTATTAATTTTGTAGCAGCTCGATCTCTGTAAGATGAGGCTCGATGAGATGAGTTCCTCCTGTGCTATTCTACAGCAGAGGATTATGTTTCATCAAGTCTTTTCAGTGCTACAGTTAAGGGAGTGTTGTATCTCAAGGTGTGGTAAACAGTGATTGATGATCAATTTCCTATGATAAAATTCAAAGTCTGTATGAAAAGCTGTCAGATCCTTGGGCAGCACAATCCTGATGTTTAGGGACACAGTGCTCTGAGATGCTCGAAGAACTTAAGAGCTCACTTTTACTGGCTGCTGTTTAAAGATCAGCGGCCGTTTTTAATGGTCCCAGCTTTTTTTAAATCTGAAAACTACAAGTCACACCTGCTTTGTATTTCAAGATGAAGCTCTACAAGAGAACAAATTTCACTCCATGCTGCTTTGTTGACCTTTAGTAACCACATGCATAAAATTTCAATAGCCTTAATGATAAAAAAAAAAGTCTAAGTCATCAAGTAAACTGAAAAATATTGCAAAGTTGAGCTCCACCAAACAAACTTTTCATTAAAAAGTCTGCTGCACTAGCACTGTCCTCTGCAGGTCATGCATGTGGAAATAACCAACCACAGTGTATATTTGTTAATACAAAAAGGGTCATTTAGTCATTCTGGCAATTCAGGAAACACTCAAAACAAGAATTACGTACCCATAACTGTCAATATTAGTGAAACAATCTAGAAGAAAAATATGAACCTCGTAAAAGAGTTTGATATTTTTAATTGTCTGCATACTGCAGTACTTGAGTACATACTCATACAGTATTGTTTATAGCAAATAACTGAATTATTTCATTTGTTTAGCAAAAAGCATGCTGAATACAAAAAAGTCACTTTTTAGTCGCCTAAAGTGACAGTAAAGTTCTTTTTATCTTCACCTTGTGGATCATCTCTTGACTGTGATCTATCTACAAAGGCATGACAAAAACCAAGAGGCTTAGGCATCTAAATCAATAAAGAGAAAAGTGATTGCCTAAAACTGCTGAAATCCAACTTCAACCAGTACCTTCACAAACGTAATCTCTTTCCTAAAGTAGCACAAACACCTCCAGAAGAGGCATGAAAGAGATGGCATGAGGGTGTCGGTATTCATGTAGGTGGAACAAGCATCGGTGTGATTTTTGCTTTAAAACAGGACTGTCTCCGCTCTAACTGCTGTTAACAGTGTTGCATGTGTGACGTTACAGAGAGAGGAAGTGAGAGCCCGAAAGAGAGAGAGAGAGAGAGAGAGAGATCTTGAGGTCTGTTGTCAGGCATAAAGAGGCACCAAATCCAACTAAGGGAGCGCACAAAGCAAGTAGAGTTTCAGGACAACATCGGTCGATAAACCTGTCTTTCTTCAGCTAAGACGCACTGTGAGGAATTGTGGGAAAAATCTCTACAACATCAACTCTCCTTTTCTCATTTCCATTTTGGTTCAGGAGCAAAATTTTCTGTACAAGTGAAGAATAAAAAAAAAAGAAGGAATTATAAGACATAAATGAAAACTCTACTCAAATGAGCTGAGCGAACGGTCTTGTGAGAAACTTAGAGACTTTTCTACATCTTGCATTAGTGGAGTATTAAAAAAAAAAAATCTGCTGATGTGCTCCACTTCAACGCTACTGTATTCACACAGTGATAGTCTGACTCTGGATGTGGCTACAAAAAGAACAAGACACTGAAGAATAGAAAAGTTGCCGATGACACTTTTAATTACAGATTCTAACCACTGTGCAGCGTCCGCCGACAAACAAACAACAAAATGATAATCACATCAGAATGTTAATTATTTCATGGCAAGTGGATTTAGTTTGTAATTTTATGAATGAATTACTGGTTTTAAAATGTAATTTACGTATTGACAGTGCTCATCTCAAAGGCAGACGTTCGTTTCCGGGTTTGTGCCGACCCAACCCTTCAGAGTGAGACTGTGGTAAAACAAACCTTACTTGGAACTATTGTGACTCCTAGTTGCTTCTCTACCTGGGCTTTCTCTATCTGTTCACTGTTACCTGTGGCCTTTGTTTAGAAAAACGTTCTTGCTTTAAAAATGACCCAAATGATATAGACAAGGTCTGGGTGACCTGAACACCTTGTTTATCAAAGGCTGCATAACAATATTTGTCACATAAAGTCATGATATGGTTGCTCCTCGAATAAATACATTTTGCCCTTCAGTTATGAAATACTGCACAGGGTCAGCTACTAGCGTCGTAGCCTGAGTAATGTTCTTCCTGACGGTCAAGCGGTCGTTTAACTGTGAGTTGAATTCCAGTCATCTTTACGGTCTTACCAAAATCTAGCAGACAGCCACATAATGTCAGACAACACATTTATTTGTTTTCAACAAGTTTTCTTTTTATCATCACAAAGGCATATACTATTTTCTCTGTATATTGTTTGATTTATATATAATACACTATCAGTCAAACATCAGGACACACTTTCCCATTCAATTTAATGGGAAAGTGTGTCCTAATGTTTGACTCATAGTGTGTGTGTATGTGTGTGTGTGTGTGTATATAAACAAAAATAAGCATACATTTTTGCTGATAAAAACTGACGAATATCAGCAAAAGTCAATGTAAACCATGGTCCGTCTAAAACAGGTACGAGAGCTCGCCCTTTCTCCGACTCACCCACAGTAACAGATTTGCATAGGCAAAAATGGGATTAGCCCTTAAACAGTGGATTCCTGAATTCTTTATAGAGATGCAAAATCTATTTCATCGTAACATAATAAAAACAAATACATACAAACAAAAAATTATGTCGACTAGGCCAAGTTCTCTTTAACCTTTCTGCTCGTATACATTGTCATTTCTCTGTGCACATTTTTGTTTACAGTGTTAGGCTTCAAGTAGATCTAAAAACAACTTGTACATCGACAACTAGATGTGAAATAAATTAACCAACATGAGAGGTAGTGAAAAGTCTACAGAGATGTTTGTTGTCTTTTTTATATATATATATATATATATATACACAAAGGAAAAAAATAAAATGTGTCAGTAAGGCCAAAGCTTCATTAACCTCCTCCGTCCCATCAGGGCGCTTCAGCTCTCAATTTCCTTTTTAAAAAAAATCAATTAAACTAGAGCTACGTTTTAAAAAAACCCCTCACTTGGAACCCATGGAAATTTAATGGCAACAATCTAAACTCAGCGATGACACTAGGTCACTTCACATCATCATCATTGCTTGTAAAATCCATATTTGAAATGCACTTATTAAACATCAACAACTGTGTACTTCTCCTCACTGTAAATGTCACAATAAATTAAAAGGACATCAGCAGAAAACCTGGGTTTCTGCCGCACCTGTCCTTCCTGTAAAACACTCCCAGTCTTTAACTCTTAACTGTCCATTAGCACTGGGCACACTCATGCCAGCCTTAAACCTATCAGCTTCTCCGCTCACACCAGGGACAGCAAGCTCCCCGGTGTTACAAGTACTTAGCAAGGTACGCACATCTTACAATTTATAAATGTAAACTTGCTTTAGTTGCACCATGATTTCCTTATCTGGTTCTTGGTGAAACATTCTTGTATTAATTACAACACAGACTCAACAACAAGGAAACATAGCTGTACTGTGCAGAAGAGAAATCTGTCTTAAGGAGAGCTTTATGAGTGACAGGCATTCTTCTACAAAGTCAAAAAGCTACAGAGTTGTCCAAATACAACACAACTGATCCTTTAGTATCTGAATTGGTTCACTTCTCTATATTCCTCTACTTCTGATCAAGTGGACACATGCATACACAGTTCTTCATTGAAGCGGCTAAGCAATATCGATCAAGCCCTTATGGATATTAATGTAGTCTGCATGTGAGTAATATACGTATTGCCAAAGGTTAAATATCGCATATTTTCAATAAGAAACATTGCAAAACTTTTGGGTGACTACTGGTTCAGACTGGCTTTTTTTCACATTACAGTGTCAGTTTCACTGATTTATAACCAATATTTCACAACAGAAAGCTTTTGTAGAGCATGAACTGGCAGTTTCATCTAGCTACTCCAAGTAAGTCTGGTAGAAAATTCAAAATCCCACAGTTCCATAGGCTCTAGCCTCTAGCAAACCACCTGCATCTGTTTAGAAGACAAGCAGTTTCCTTATTGAGTTCCTTTAGTAAAACTTGCAAAAGCTAACTAGAGGCAGTCAGTTTCTTGAATAATCCAACAGTGGGGTTAAAACATTTTGAGCATCCTGACAGGTACTGTGGTTAGTAACCTTCTGACTATCTTAGGGGGACACAGCTTCAATCCTACTACCACTAACTACAACCAATTGCACTTCAGTAGTCCTCTAGATTTCCTGCATCTTCAGCTCTTAAATTTGATCTCAACCTAACTTGGCACATGAACATCAGGTAGTTAGAGGAGGTGGCAACATGGATGTCTACATTTATCAGTGAGAAGTGGCACTGTTTCATTGACACTTTAAGAGTGCGCTAACAACCGTACGGAGACGTCAGCTATCCATCATGTCACATGATGAACACACCTGGAGACCCAGTTAATTAAAAAATAGCATATACTGCATTCATGCACCTTTTACTGCATGTCCACAGGCCAGGATCAAAGTTCATGTTCAAATGTTCACATCGTCATAAAACAAACTGTCCTTTTATATACTCAAAATATTAATGGGACATTTGGCAAGACCCCCTTAAATTTTTTTCACTATATTTTTCTGATATGTGTGCAACTGCACCACACACACACACATACACACACACACACACACACACACATAACCAGTATCACTGCATGCTGTCAAAGTCAGATTAGAAAAACAAACCAGTGTGCAGGGGCTGGCAGTGGAATGGACGATTAGCATGGCTAGCACAAGCAGGCTAACTGCTTGTCTGCAACATGCTGAAACCTCTTAGCCTTGTTGAAAAGGCTAGCATGTCGCATGACTACACAAACTTCTTCAGTAGCTCTCTATGACAGCATGTCAGCATTGTTATACCGACCCTCTTCACTAGCTCTGTTAAAAATATATGCCAGTGTCTGGAAAGGGCATTAGCAAACTGAAGGTCTACCATACACTCTCCCGGCCTCGTCTGCTGGAGAAACAGACATGCACCGATATGACTGAGAGTCTATAGCCTGGTACCAAATCACAACTAATGTCTCTTCACAGCATCTTTGACATCGTTTTTGGCACCTGGTTCACGTAAGTGTGGTGTGATACTGAATGTCCAACTCAAGGGACGGTCATGTTACTTACAGCATCTAAAGCTAAAGCCTTACAGACAAAGGCCAGGGCTCAACAACCCTTTGAATTACATCAGTGCCTGCTGCATCCGCTTATGTTACCAGGGAGAGCCAGCTTTCCATAATGCTCAACTCATGGTAAAACACTAAAAGGTCAAACCTAGACTTAATGTTATTTTCTCCAGCAGTGTTTTCCCCCCCTCAGTGGGCACCTTTACTTATCAAGCTGTGATGGACTGAGCTGAAGGGAGGAGGGAGAGAGGGAAAAGCATGGGAGGGCAGGGATCACTGGACAAACTGTGGTTGCCTTCCAGAAAAATGCCTGCAGCGCTTGTGCTGCCTTGTCTTTATTGTAAAGGCATTGTGAATTCCTCAGTGGACACATTTTAGTTTAAAGTTCATGTGTAATAATAATATATGTAGCTGCCCAACCACAATTCTAGCCCTTACTTCTCCCAGTTAAAGAAACCTAAAGAAGGAATGTGCTCAGATGGACGGACAGGTGGATGGATGGATGGGCACTGCTGCCTTTGCTGCAGATGCCATCAAATCTCTTAAATAAAAAAAAAGAAAAGAAAACTGCAATAATCTAAAAACTGACAGAAGTGTATGTTTTCCATTCACTGAACATACACAGCCAGACAGAGAGAGACAGGTCCCCTCAATACTCAAAAACAGTTGCAGTCCGCGGCTTGCATTGTCAAGCTACTGAGAGAGAGAGAGAGTTATATGCAGAGCCAGTGCTTCTACTGGTTAAATGGGCAGAGACGCCCCCAACTCCCACCAACAGCTAGGTGTCATGTCTGGACAGTAAAGAAATTAAAAACCAAACAAAATAAATACATCAGAGGAATGGAACAGACTTAGAAAAACATAATAATATGAATGGACTAGTAAAGACAGGGGATATCAAAGTGAGTGTAGAAAGCATGAGGTCTAGATATTACAGTACAGAAACAGCTGGCTTGTCCTTTTTGCCCATCTCTCTCTTTCTGGCCAAGCCGCCTGAGGAGTCCTTGTCCACAGCTAACCAGCAGCTGGCCATCAGGTTGGCCATTCCAACTAACAGCTGACACGTGGGTCGGCCAGTCAACCAAAACAAACAGCACAGATTGCTAGCAAAACAATCACTGGCCAGCAGTAATGGTCTTAAACTGACCAATAACCAAACGGCAAAGGCCAACCTGACTCCAGTGGAGAACTGGATATAAATTGCTTAAAAAATATAAATAAATTAAAAAAAAAATCAACCAGCTATCATGGATGTCATTCAGGCTTTTCAATCAAAAAAGAGGGAGAGATTTTCCAAACCCGACTTCTGGCACCATAGTAGTATTTGAAGTTTAAGTAGAAGTCTTCTTGGTGTACGATGGCGATGAGGATGGCGAGGTCTAGGTTTCGAGGCAGGTGCGCCTCCTGCTGGCCAGGAGGTCTCTGTAAACGGAGGAGTTGAGGAAACGGGGAAAGGAGTCGCGGTGCATCAGGGTGTAGATCTGGAGCTGGGCCTCCTCGTACATCAGGTTGCTGGGCTCCGCCAGGCTCTGGTTTATTCCCTCTCTGACCCGTGAGTCCAGACTCACCTGGGGTAAGGAAAATAAAAATCAATTCATAAACCACAGCCGCTTTTTAACATGTTTAAAAGTGCCAGTGGATTTATTCAGACATTACGCAGACTCCAGCAGAAGATGTGCTAGACACAGTTAAAATTTAATTAGGCTAGCGAAGGTTCTTAACAAGACAGTCTACATAGTCATGCTAGCAGTTTGTAGCAGTGTACTGAGAGACAGTGGTGCTTTAGGCTAAATGCTAATGCCATCATGCTAAAATTACAGTGCTAACAGATAACCAACAGGTGCAGTGTTTACCATGTTCACCATCTTAGGTTTGAGTGCTAGCACTTGCTAAGAGACACTAAGTACCAAGTACAGCTGAGGCTGATGGGAATATCGTTAGTCTTGCAGGTGGACATAAACCAAAATATTGGACAAGTCATAAATAAAAGTAATTCAAAATTTCATTCCTATCTAGCCCTAGTGGTGGACTGACCAAGCAACAGAGCAACACTGCCATCCCTAGAACTATTTCAAAAGCAATCTTCATTCATTGTATGCTCACGTGTGCTGAATTAACACAAACACAGCCTGTACCTCTTTGGGTGACAATATGGACACATAGTCTTCGTATATGATTCTGGCCTTCTCATCCACTGCTGATGGGCTAGTCTCCTTTTTCAGCTCGTCACAGGCCAACCAGAAAAGCAGGTTGTCCTCACTGTACTCCGAGCGCAGGAACTCTTGGAAGATCTCCCGGCCCTCCAAAGAGCGCAGCAACATCTCAAAGCTCCGCGCCCACGACAACACCTCCTCTAGACTGGGGTGTCTACAGACAAGCATAAAAAAAAAATGAGGAAAGGCAGCATGTGTGAGACTGACACACAATCATACTGACATACACATACAAGACTGGAGGGAGGATGGCTGGACTCACTGTTCTTCTGTAGCTTCAATACTGTCCATCTTGGTACACGTCTGTCGTTCACTTCTCTCTATCCTGTCTTCATTCCTGGTTTGAAGACAAGATTTTTTTTTTTTGAGCCAAGATTATGTAAAACCTGATTTATTTCTAGTTCTATGCCGTTTGTTTTATGTCATAAGCAGGCCGCCAGTGTTTTGACCCTCCTTCAAGATGGCTTTTTTGATTTAAGCCCTTTTACACACTGAACTTAAAAAAGCCAGCAAACTGCGACTCCTGTGTTCACTTTACACAGCTGCCAGATTCCTGATACTAGAGGTGTGACGCTTATTATGACGTCCGACAGTCCATGAGCTTGGTGGCCACTGAAACTCAGTTCAACACAGGGCTGTTGTCTGATTTTGAAATAAAAACCGGGAGTTACAGTAGCCTCCTATATGTGCATCCAGTTTCAGGTTTGAGGGCAGGGCTACAAACTCACAAGGTAGCACACAGCAGAACAGACAGAAACGTGAGTTGAGCTGCATTCACACAAAATCCTTCCCGCAGGGTTGTGCAGAGGTGTGGTTGTGTTTATTTCTGCTTTAGAACATAATCACGTTAAAACCATCCCAAAATAGTGTTTTAACCTCTTATTCACTTTCTTCTCGCTGATGCTGCTCTCTCTCCTCATTCACTCTCTAGATCTCTCTCTCTCACCCCGACCTCCAACCCTGCATTCCACCTCATCCTGTTTATACAGGCGGTGGGGCGACTCTGCGTGGCAAAAACACTACCTCTCGTTGTGGCATTTTAGAGTCAGCATGGACCCACTAATTCTGGGACCATACCTTTTACACAGAATTGTGAGGCAGTAAAACTGGTAGAAAACTCCCACGCTGGGCAGTGTAAAAGGGGCTATTAGTTTTTGGGGGTTTAGAACTGTTGGTCAGAAAAAACAATATGTAGACGTAACCATGTGGTGCGGCTAAATCAACGATGACAGCTGTCAGCAGCACCTCTACGCTGCAGCTCTCTCAGTGCATCAGTGTGAGCTTCACTCATGAAAATCATCTCCAGAAAACGCTGCCACAAATTCGAAGGTGCTAAAATAACAAAGTTTCAGTGAAAGCCTTTGTGTAAACAGTCACGGTAGCCTCTCTGTCTGCTGTAGCTCAGTCACACTGTGCAAGTCCACAGCACAACACGCACTGAGTTGTCTATTTTTGTCTGACCGTGGAGGATCTTCCCTTCTTCTTGCTGTCTCTTGTCAAAGTCCCTATTGTGCATCAATAATGGGCTACACTAGCCATGGCCCTTGGGCACCCTCACAATACAACAGAATATAAGGGCTGTTCTTCACAGCTCTTTTGCATGTGATGTGTGGATGGAAATAGAAGACACCCCAACCAGATAAGGGCCTTGTGTGAGGGAGGGTGAGGAGACGCTCAAGGGCACGGGGGGTGGGAGTTAGAAAGCTGAGAAAAAACAGAGACACAAAGAAAGCATGGATAAAAGTGCAACGGTATGCCTTGACACTTTGACACCATTAAAGCTTTCATACACAGTATCTAAAACTTCACCACAGCAGCAGACGAGGTCTCCACACACCCACACAGATCTCCACCGGTTGACTCAGCATGGTAGTGAAAAGAAACATGACACGGAGGGCACTGAGTGATTTACATGTAATTTGCACAAACTTTCACTGTAAAGGCACAGCCTTCACAATAACATTAATAAGCTTCCATAGTATTAAAGACAATTTTCCAGGCTCACTATGGAGATCCGACACCTGCATTTGATTGAGAAACACACAGCGGCATCACAGAGCGCTCTCTGCGGGCCCAGTCTACAAGCTGCCACCACTTCATATGAAGTGGTGTGAAAGAAGCAGCACATTCCCCATTCACTGCCTGAAAACAATGTTTCATTCACTCCTCTCTCCAGGCGAGAGTGTGGCCACAGTGAGGTGGCTGGAGGAGCTGCACAGCACTTGCTGGGTATGGTGACTTGCTCAGGGGAAACACGGTGCAGGACGTCTTTGTATTGTAGAAATTAAAGCTAAACTAATGGTTATTTTCATTGTCACCCATTGTGTCCACTATTTTCTTGAAGCATAAAGACTACAGCAGTTACAGAAACAGCAATGAAAGAATGATGTTTAATTCAAGTTAATTTCACTGCTGGATTCAGGTGATGTATGTGTATCATTTTGTATTATTAGCATCAACATTGTTAGAACTTATTACGAATTACATAATCTATTAAGCCTATACTGTACTATGTTCAGGGAGTTCATTATCCAAGCTGTGGGTCTAAACACAGAGGGAGCCCTAGGAAGCACAGCTGTTATGTTGGTCAATATAAACAAAATAACATCTGGGTTCGTAATTGTTCAACTCTGAAATCTGTTAAAACATGGGCCGGTTCGCAGAATGGTTTAATGGTTGGCCTGAATTTCTAGGGAACTGAAAATAAGTGTAACATCACAGAATAGGCAACAGGATAAAGGGCAGGACCAAGTGTTTGTTGTTTCAGTTGTGCTTTCCTTTTTTAGCACAATAGCAGCAAATAAACTGTACACATCTAGTTGTAAAAGCAACCTACATGTTAACTGGCTGTCCCACAGTATAATGGACATCACTGAGACATTGCTTTGGCTGGATCGTTACATTTATGCTAGGTGCTTCTAACATAGGTGTTGCAGCCTTTGAGCTGTCACATTTGTAAAGCTAATACTGTAGTCATCAATTAGTAAAAAAAAAGGGTGACAAAATTTACATTCATGTATATAAAACTGTGGCTGAATACTGAAATACCTCAACTTAAAACTAAATGCCATTTTCATAATTTAACAACGTCTTTAATTTAGTTGATTTTAATAATTAGCTGGTTTTACTGGGTGATATCTGAGTGTACAGCAGAGTGGAATGTCTTCTTACCAGAGACACTTGCAGCAGCCACACCAGCAGAGGCAGCAGGTATTAGGTCGGGGCTGTCCAGGGGCCTGGGGTGGGGCCTCGATGTGTGCCGCCTGCCTTTTTCTCATCTCCACTCCACTCACACTCCGGGGCTTCACAGTGGACAGATACAGAAACATTTAAATACTTTTGAAATGAATAACAATGAAACAGAAAGTGCAGGTGCGAATTAAGTCCCCATATTTTACTTCTGGCTCTCCAGCAGTACAGTGTATCTTATTAGAAGAGGAAAAATGAAAGACAGCGTGTGAGTGTGTGTGCAAGCCAGATGAAGTGATAGACAGAGAGCACTCAAGCAGAACAGAGAGGATTCCCTTCCTTGTACGGTATGAGAGACCTTTCTAGGACTAAGCCAAGTTCAGCTTTGACAGACACTATAACATATTAACCCATTCAGCTCTTTCTCCATTCATCTTCTGTCCGGCCTGCTGCTACCTCAGAACATCCTCTGCACAGGCAGGAGATGAGGCTTGAAACAGGGATCCACGCCAAAACCTAAAAGTGACCCGTGGTCACACGAATGTGCTGCTAGCGTCTGATGGTCTTGTTGAACTGGTGGTTCTGTATTATGGATTCTGCTAATGCTTTGCCGTTTCTAAATTTCACACCAATCCATCCAGTAGTGAACCAGCTGACCTAAAGTAACAAAAGTACACGGAAAGAAACTATTAATTTTAGAAAAGATCTCTCTCAGATACTCGGAAAATTCAACAAACATGAGTGAAGACTGTGTAGTGTTCACCCAAACCTTCCTTTCTAATGAATTAGTTATTTCTCTGCGACTGCTGCTACCTAATCAAGTTATAGTACACAGAACTCATTCTAATACCCAAGATAATGATATACAGTGTCACCTTTTAATACGGTTTCTCATCTTCTTCCAGGTGGAAGATAACAACACCTGGCAGCCTTCTAATGAGCTAAATAGGCCAGGAAAACCTTTATCACACTGTACAGTAAGCTTAAAACTATAAAGCTTTCTCACAGGTAGCGCAACAGTCAAATCCTACAGCAGGAAACACTATGAACATCAGCTAACATGCCATTTTGTTAACACACAGGACAGATAATAACAAACAAAGAATCATTTAAACTTAATTTCGCCAAGGAATGCAGAGCAAAGTGTAGTCTTGTAGTATGGGAATTAAAAATACATTTAATAAAACAGAAGTATTACCTGTAAATTTGTGGTCTGAATTAAACTCCTCATTAAACACTTAAGAATCCAAATAAAAATAACTGGGCTCCTGTACCAACAGAGGAACCTTCTTCTTGTTCCACCTACTCTGCAAACAGACATTCGAGTTATAACAACAACGATACAAGACAGGTAAGGCTGATGTATCTGATATGCAAATGCCATGGGCAGTGGAGTCGCCATCAGTTATTCAGTGACCCAGGCAACATCTATGAATAAACAGGGAACGTGATGCAAACAATAGCAAGGGTACAATATCGTTCTAAACCTGGAAGAGCCAGGACATTCAAATATGGAGTGGAAATGCAAATGCACTGAGGTCAGAGGAGAAAAAAAGAGATAGAGAGATACAAGATCGGTCATACATGTACGTGCAATAACTTCAAAGTATCCTGATGACATCCCCTCATTTATTCCTCATTTTATTAATTACTACTTTGAAGCCTCCATGTCACTGCTTCATTGTTTAGCATTCATCATGATGATGTACGCTGCTGTGGGACAGGTTACTAAGCCTTAAGTCTTATGGACGTATGGTCAAGCTTTATCTTACATAATGGCTGCAAATGGAAACACAAAACAGTTATTCAGACATAGTATATGAACCACAGTCAAATCCTGAATGGGAATGACAGAAACTTGCTGCTGCAGACTGGAGACTTCATCTGGATGTTTCAGGATGGTAGGATCATGTTTCCTAACAAAGTAACAGTTATTTTTTTACAGCTAGTTTAGCTTTAGCACAGCTATTTTCATATAACTCCCAACACTCTCAGTGTAGTGCTACACTAGGGGTAGGCTTAGGGTGGTTTTACATTAGGGACCCAGAGGATCAGAGTACACTTGACCCCAAAGTCCGGTTCATTTTGATCAGCATGAACACAAGCATACCAGACTCGGGCACCGTGCTCGAGTCCGCTTGAAAGGTGGGCTCGAGCACAATTCATGTGTACTCGAGTATGATCCGTGGAAGATGTGAACACAAACATGCTCAAACAAGGAAGTGGGCTGCTATGTTATAACTATTTGACTCTGTCAGTTTAAACATTACGAAACACGGCTGAGAAAGGATCTCCGTGGAGTAACAAAGAAGTAAAATGCTTGCTTGAAATTTGGGCTGATGAGGACATACAAAGACACCTGGATACTGGTGGTTGTCTGCATCTCAAAAATAATAAAAACATCCACAGTAACAGGACTGACTCCATTGTCCGCACGGAACAGAAACAAATGTTGCTCAAACAAGGAAGTGGGCTGCTATGTTATAACTATTTGACTCTGTCAGTTTAAACATTACGAAACACGGCTGAGAAAGGATCTCCGTGGAGTAACAAAGAAGTAAAATGCTTGCTTGAAATTTGGGCTGATGAGGACATACAAAGACACCTGGATACTGGTGGTTGTCTGCATCTCAAAAATAATAAAAACATCCACAGTAACAGGACTGACTCCATTGTCCGCACGGAACAGAAACAAATGTTGCCCAGTTGATGACGTGAGTGGTTGCTTCTTCTTTTTGGAGGATTACAAACCAACTACATGCATACTGCCACCCACTGTATAGGACTGTGTACAGACTCAAGTGTGTTGGGGCACAGAACAATGTTACTAATGTGAAAGCAGTCCTGCAGGGGAGAGGGGAGCAATCGTGCTTGGGCACAGTATGAAATAATCGTGCCTAATGTGAAAACACTCTTGACATCACAACAAGCACAGTTTCAATACCGCTGGCTTTCGACATGGGAAATTCAAAGTCTGAGATAACTTAAAACCATAGCAGAGAAAAAGATTAGTAATCTGACAGCAGAGGAGGACCTCCGCCATCACCCTAATCCATCCCAGCTCTTTTTTTTATTTGTTTTCCATCATACTTGCTCTTTAAAACTGTACTGAGGAAAACCAACTCTACCAACATCCAACCCTTCAAACTTTTCTCTTTGTTTTGTTATGAAACACTGAACACAAGTTCATGACTGTTACTTCCATCTCATTAAAACAACATAAAAAAAACTGGAAATACACTATCTTCAGTCAAATGCCAAACTTACCATGAATTAATGAGTTCCTAAAAACAGGTCAGGCAGCACAGTCATGGTGTGAGGTAATAGGTTGCTGGATGAAAGCAGGCTGGTTGAAGGAATGACTGACTGGTGGACGGTCTGAGTGTCTGTTTGGCTAAAGGACTGGCTGTTTGGCTTGCTGGAGATGCAGGGAAGGCGACGAGGTTTGTTTCATCACAGGGAATAGAGGTTACTGGTCTCACCATCCCTGACCAACTGGCACAAATAGGGACACGACAGCTGAGGTGAAATGTAACTTATGCGACTGAATGTAGAGTAACTGCTTTTATTTCTCTCACCGTCGCCTCCTAGGCTTGCATGGAATTTGGTGAAAGGGTCATTTATGGTTTTGAGGGCACAGGGAGCAATGAGAAACACATCATCTGAAAAACACAAAGGAAAAGAAAAGCAGCTTTAAAGTCAAAATCATGACAGATTCAAATAACATAACAGGGCAGAAATGTATCTTTAGTGCACACTTGCAAATGCTACAGTGAAAGCAGCAACTTACCAGTACACAGGTTTTGAGACTTTAAAAGAATAATACTGTATCAGCCCATGTTCATTTCTTAACATGAATATATGTGATAAGAAGTTCTTAAATTTGTTTTGTGATCAGAATTGTGAGGAGTACGATATTTCAGTTGAAAAATAATCTTGTCAGTGCCCTCTGGTGGACAAACCGTGTAATGGCCACGCTGGTGAAGACCTGAGATGATTGGATAATTAATCAAGTAGTGATTTTGGTCATCAATTAAACATTAAAGTTATTTACATTGTCTCTTGCTATATTGTTTGGTGCTTTCTGGTTTATATAACTGAAAACTGAATATCTTTAGGTTTTGGAAAAGTTATTTTAAAGTTTCAATATGGAAAACTAATGGCATAATTGATTAAACAACTGACCACTTAATTAATAATCAATTAAAACAATCACTGTTACAGTCCAATATTTCCAGACTGCCCCAAACATATTTCTGCCATTTTTGTGTTGCAGTTTCTTTTTACTTGTCAGCCAACATGGACGCTGATACATATACTGACATAACTGCGATAAGCTAAAGGATACAGACAAAATAAGACGAGATAAAGCGAATCCGGAAACGACTTGAGGAATGAGCCAAATGCAGTAAATGCCCAATGATGCATGCAGTTTAAACCCTCATCACGAAGAGGATTAAGCACATCACTGGCACCACAACCCAACCCTCAATCACAGCCAGATGTTATTTGCTGGATTTGGACTAAGAGCCTAAAGGTGACAGAGCCTCCTAAGTTTCTGTCATGCTGCATGCTTTCCATATAGGAATTACTGTTCCAGTAACTTAAATGTTGACCTAAACACTATGTATTATGGACTATGACCAGCCTGTTGCAACTTGACTAAAATGTTCAAGTAAAAGACATTGAAGAACAGCGAGAGTATAGATGATATCTAGATTCATAACTATTGAGTGATATTTACAATTATGTAGCCCGCTAAACAAACAATATTAAACATTCTTATTAATAGCAGTTCTGCAGCCTATTACTGTATGTTTCCATGGGACTGCTTTAATTTCACATATTTTTGTCTCTTACTTTGTCTGACCAGATCTCGTTTCCACTTTGATGTCACATGACAAAAACCGAAGCACAAAGCAAAACTAAGAGCTCACATATATCTGCCACAACACGTTTCATCGATAGTGTTATAAAGCAAAACCAGTGGCTTCGTGAGATAAGGATCCATATTTGCTCATGCCAGTTTGAACTGGTTTGAAAACAAAAGTTTCTGTTGTACATTAAAGATGATTTTGCATAGTTATGTGTGAAGATAAAGCTCTTGTGTTGCACTTGGGTGATTTTCATCTGCCTGCTCCCAGGAGGAAAGGCGCCACAGAGTAACTGTACTAACATACTTCCTAAAAAGAAGAGGATTACTAATGTGCTGGAAGAGCAAACAGAGCGAGGCAGACCATCTGAAATAATTATTATTATAATTGGTTTACCTATTTTGCCTATCATTTACCTATTTACTCTAGCCATGTTAACTCTTCAGCTGCAATGAGAACAATCAGGATATCACTCAGTGTCTTCAGGGATTATTTAACTGTGCCTCTTCAGGATCTAGCTCAGTAATTCAGGAAGACATGTCACATCTGACACCCTACTCAATCAGTTGCAAGTCTGTTGTCTCTGTTGTTTCATGACCCCTATAAATGTGAACATTCTGGATCAGCGGGTTCGGAATATTAACTGGATCTGCATCATACTTTGGTGTGTAACAGGTCTTATGTGGTTGTTATCTTGCAATTTTTGCCCAAGCATTTGCAGGCATCACGTATGGAGAAGCAAAAATACTGAAATTGGCCCGATCTCACAATGGTGAAGAATCCTTTAAAAATTCCCGGACCAAGATGATGACCAAGATCAGCAACAAAATCTAATAGATTGTTCCTTTGGCCATACTGTACACTACCACTCCAAAAATGTCATCACTTTTGGAGTTATGCTGTAAACATACCAACTAACAAACAAACCAACAAATGCCGGTAAAAACATGACCTCCACCCTGTCAGAAGGAACTAGGCTATCCTCAGCAACAAGAAGAGCGAGGAGTTCTGTAACAGATGGCATGGGCCCCACAGAGCCATGATCACAACATCACAGTCAGTCTGGGATTACATGAAGACACATGCCCAGTACCATGAAAAAAAACTGTATGCAAGTAAATGTGCAATTATTATAGTACATTTTGCTTTTTTCTGTTCCCTGCACTTTGGTGAAGATAACTAATAAATAAAACCTATTGGTGGGATTACTTTTAAAAGCATCCTTTTTTTTCCTTTTAGTGCCTAAAACATTTGCATCTTCAAGTTACATGTTTCCACCCTACAAGCAAACATCACCAATCTCAGATGTGTTGATAAGAGAACTGACAGTGAAGAGGAAACGATGAATGAGATGAATCAGGAAGTTACCAGGGATGTAGTGCAACATAACCTGTGCTCCTCTGACTCAACACACCCACGGGACACTGCAGTGTGGGTGCTCCCTCAGCTGTGCGCTACACTATCTCGTTCCAGTGCATGACTGGAAAGGAAGAGGGTTTAAATTGGTCTAGGCAGTGGCACGATGAACTCCACGGTGAAGAAGTTGACAAGATAGTTTATGGTGGAGGCTCATCGGACCCTGCCCCCCCTCCGTGCACTAGCTGTGCTGGCTAGCTGCTGGGCTGGGTGTTATGCATGGTTTCTCCTGCAGCTGTCTGAACCATCTGAGCCCAGCCGCTGCAGGTCCGAGCAGAGAAGTTCCCCTCCCAGCTGAAACCACCGAGTTACACCGCAGTTTGAGCGAAGTCCGCACGGTGCCGAATGTCGCTCTTAATTTTTTCTGAACTCAAACACCACCCACTTTCTTCTAGCTAGCTTTAGCCGACAACCCGAGATCCGCTCTCTCTCGCAGCGAGAGGAGGGGGTGGCAGCTGAGCAGCCGTGCTAACGTCAGCTAGCCAGCCCGTGTGGAACATTAGCGTAGAATAATCAGTTTCTTACCCCCTTTGGCCGGGTTGTCAGTGTCCTAGGGTGATAGGTGTGAAAACGCGATGTTCCGATGCTTATTTAACGACATCGCAAATGGGAATCCTGTGGTGTAATGTCCATCGCCGCTGTTTGTCTACCATCCACCCCACTTCAGCACCGAACGCCGCCGAGCCCCTGGATGCACTGCGCATGCGCGCTGCCATGGTTGCTCTGTGGCTGCAGTTGGTGAGAAGATGCACTGCTGAGGCTCCTGATGCACAGTCACATTATCCCTCTGCTGCACAGCTACTACACAACCAACCTCCACACTATTCAATTAAAATCACAGTAAGTTGCTAATAAAGTTTAGAAGGCAATTGTTCATGCTAGAGGAAATTTATCCTCAGGTTATAAACCTGTAAAGAATATAGATATCCCTATAAAATCACACACAACCTTTTGTAGTGATGCATCAGAGCAGGAGTAGGCAATCCTGGTCCTCCTGGCCTGCTGCCCTGCTTGTTTTCCAATTGTCTCTGCCCTAACCACTGCTGATTACCCGGATCAGGTGTGTTCAGTCATATTTTATGATGTATATACAGTATGTTTAGTCTTTTATAACTAACTATATTTATGCAATCCTATGTGAGGTTATTCTGTGATCGTTGCCTATGAATTTGTGGACATTTATGAACAGATAATCAGATCTTATAATATATTTTAAGATATGTAAAGAGAATTCTTTTCTGTCTTCTTTCTACATGATTGTCACACAAACAGAAATAACCAGCAGAGTCAACAAGTCAACTGATCTAAGTTTGAAACTATGTTTGTGTTTTATGCTGTGGAAAATGGTAAAATGTCAAATAAAGATATTTAGACAGATTATAAAAACAACTCTGTAATTTGTTTTAAACTGGCAACCACTTGTGAAGAAGTGCAGTAAGAAACCAAAAATGTATTTAGGAGATCCCGAAATGTACAAGATTTATAATTAAGTTGTGACTTCATACACATAACTGCTGAGTATGGTTTCCATCTATCCATTCATGCATTCATCCATTCATTTATATCTGTATACACAAACCCAGCCAGACTAACTTTAACATCCTGTCCTGTAGCTTATATAGCCATATGTCATTTATTCAGTTGAGGTCACATTTGGATCAGAGTCTCAGTTTTTATAATGTATTGGAGAATCACCTCAGCTGTTCAAACTATATTTTCCTGTCATTAACACAGGGGGGCACCACAACTCTGCCTTCTCTTTCTCTTTCACACACTTTCTCTGATGCAGCAGTGACAAATCTGAATGCATGTAAATCTACTTGTTAATATTTTGTGAAAGAAAATGACAAGAATATTATTAAGGCTACAGTGACAGTTACAGGCATTTATTAACAAATAGCACATTTTACTCCATGGTGTGTGGCCTTTTTCTGTTATGGTAATTTTCAAATATTTCATAAGACATATCTGTTCATAAAAACTAAAAAGGAATGAGTGAGCAACCCATAGAAGTTGCACTGGAATGATGGATGGATGGAATAGGTGTATTTATTCTATTGATTTACTGATTGGTATTCCTCCATCACTGTGCCTCTGACATGTTCAATATAGATATGTGGCCCCGGGCCTAAATGAAGGCTAAAGTCATGACAGGGACACCGAGATGTAGCATGTATGTTCCTTGACATCGCTGGCTCACGGGCCCTGGATCAACTCCTGTTTCTTATATAAAATGAGGAAGGTTGGACTGGTTTGCATGTGAAAATGTCAAGAGCAACAAAAGCGCTACTCTGTTTCACTGTGGCTCTCGAACATGTAGCAGTGAGCACTCTGGCAGAGAATAGAGAAGCATCTATATGCTTCATGTACAGTGGGTTGTGATTAAGATGAGTGTGCAAAGCATTTCTATATTTGTTAAGGACTCATTCTGTGTGGATGAACATGTGGGAGAGACGGGGTCAGTTTCACCGGCAGAGGTTTTAAGTTTATGGCAGCGAGTCATAAGACTGAGGTAAAATGCAAAACACCGGCAGCAGCCTTTGTTATCACTACATGAGATGGGGCACAAAACACCTTGCTATTTGAAAAGTAGTAGACCATGAAAATCTGCACAGAATTTCATGGCAATCCATCCAACAGTTGTTGAGATATTTCATTCTGGACCAAAGTGGTGGATCCACCAACAGAGTGACATTGGCATCACTAAAGCCATTCAGCTAGAAAGGCTAAAAATGTGCAAACCTTCAATTTCTGCTCCAAGATATGTCCTTGGAGCTGTTGTTCACCAATTGGGGACCACTTTCTGTGTTAGTAACATGTTGTTGTAGGGGTATGGATTTGTGTGCTGTGTCTGGATTCAGCTAGTAAAGAGCCTAAAGCCCAACTCCCTTCTCCAGTGTTTTATTAATGCCATAGAATGTGTTAATAGGCACATATCAGTATATGTCAGTGTGATTTACCAAACTGAGCTCAGACAGCCTTCTGGGGTTGTCTGGTCTTAATTTCTTTGACTGCTACTCATGTATACTAAGTGTGTATGAGACGTAGAGGAAGAAAGGAGGTGAAAGACAATGTACATGCAGAAAGGTGGTAGCCTGAAGCCATACTTATGCTACCTGTCTGGTCTCAAAGTCTCACAGAGAAATCACGAGAGCTGAATGCACATTTACAAGAGCACACTGGGTTGGGGAGATCAATATCTCCCTCCAGCAGAAAGTATCTAGTTTCTCCTCTGTGTGGGCATTCAAAGCCCACCTGGGAAAAATAATGATTTTACCTGTTGGGACCAATAAATAAAATCAAAAGGGAGTTTAATTAAATTTAGATCAATGACTAAGCAAGTCAGTTGAGTGGGAGCTGCAATACTGCCCCTTTGTTCCTTGTTAAATGCTTTAACACAAATGTAATTAACACAAGATACTAACTAACAGCTGCCTAAGAGTATTTATACAACTTTTCAGTATAGACAGTTCAAACCTGGTTCAGCATATACCTCCCTTCAACAGCTCAACGCGGAGATGTTAGTGTACTATAAATTTAATCTTTTAACATTACACTGAAAAAAGATGAAAAAAGTTAGTGTTAAAGTGTAACTCTACCACATTCAGTAATGTTGTTCAGTAATGCAGTAAGCTTTTCCACACTGGGTTGATATTACTAGGGTGAGTGTTCTAATTGTACTTGTCAGTGGTTTATTTTTACTAAAGCTGATTTGCCAAAAGCATATTGGGCTACAAGGTGCAATATTAATTCTACCTTATGTTTTTATTTGATATCAAATCAATGTGGTACAATCATGAGATGAGATATTAATGAAGAAAGGGGTGAGAGTGTTCAACATGGTTGTTTTTAAGTGTTTTGTGACTGCCAAGTATCTCAGTCCAGTGCCTGGCCTCAGCATTGCAAATTTGTAGATAGACTTTCTGCAGCTTCATAGTTCAGTGAATGTGACAAAACGTCTTCTATTAGCAAGACGTTCCAGCTTTTTGTTTTGTTAATATTGCTAGTGTTGAAAGTGACTAATGCTCTGCTTACCCTAATCTTCTCATGCCCACTGCTTTGACCTGTTGTGTTTCTTGTGATCATGCTGACATCTATAACTCCTGCTGCAGAGCCTGCATTAAAACCTTCAAAATCTGCTGAGCTTCCCATCTGGTATTTAACATTTGGGTCCTATTTATCTGAGTGTGGCATCAAGGCTATTCTTAATCATAACTATTATTTATAGATGAGATTATTCTTACACCTTGGGGACAGCCTGTGTAGCTGTTCTGAGTGCCCACTAAACAGAGTGTATGAAAGAATCATTATTGTAAAAAAGCACCGACACATTTTACGATATATATTTTTTATTTTTCTTCACTTCTTTGTGATCTTACAACAGGAAGTTATAATGAATGACACACTCAATTATGAATAATTTATCCCATAATATATTTATAGTCCAGTTCTACAGGACAGAGACAGTCCTTGCACAACACAAAATAAATCAACTCCAACACTGAGGCATTTTTCGAATAGAAACAGGACAATATTTTCTCACCAAATAAACCCTCCATTCATGTATCAGGGACTATTCTTTTCCAAAAACATTTCAGCATTGCAGGAGCTGGAGAAATAAAATAATAGGCAGCAGAAATGAGAATTGCTTTCTTATCTTTGGCTGAGAGACAGCAGTGGCAGCAAAGCCTGGATGTCTCTGTGCTTCACAGACAAACACAAACAGATTAAGATAAATCTAATTATACATACCAGCAGATGGTTAATTGATACAATCAGCATAGCCCATGCTATAAAATGGGGAGTGCTGTCACCCATAAATATGAAGATTAGTGGGCCTCCAAACTATGGAACATAGTTATGTTTTAATGCCACAGTCCTTTCAGACTAGAATGAAAACAAACTGGACAGGGGACAAAAAGGTGTGGGGAACCTCAATTATTTTTACTCGGAAAGTTGTTGAAGCAGAATATTGCATTTCTGAAACACAGGGAGTTTACAATAAAAAATCTTAAATGAGTTTCTCTGGAAGTTGCCCTCAGCCATTTTAAGGTTGTAGCTCAAGTATGGATCGTTTGGAAGCAAGTCCTTGTCTGGGTGCACACGGTGCTGCCCATTTAATTTGACATATTTCTCTAAAGGTCCATTAGATGTCATTCTTAGATTATAAGTATGGGTTTTTTTCTGAAAAGTCGACATTTTGATGATGGGAGATTTTTGTTTTTTATTTGGCATCAGTGATATACAGCTATGCCCTCAGAGAGGCCTCGGAGGTCACCTCTGCAGTAAAGCGGAACAAATATGAGTTCTGGAGCTGCCATCTTTCATCATTTATCAGTGAAATATAAAAACATGCTTAGTGCAGAGGACTGTTAGGGTGCGGGTGCAGCAGCAGCAGCGTCAACAAGCCAAACACACACACTTGTTTTCTCTGAGGCTGTCTGTCAAACCTCCTTTAAACTTCATAAAATGATTCATCTTCATTGCAGCAAAGCTGCATTGGAAAATCATCAATCACTGAGTCGATCAAGAGGCACAGCTAAATATTCACCAGCAGTTTTCCAAGTCAGTGACTTTTCCCAGACAGTGATGGTTCCCATCTACTCAGGCATGATTACCACATCGAGAAGATAATTGCTTGAGGAAAATGTATCAATTTTCTTATTTAAACATTCCATATGCAAAATGGCTTATATGGTGAAAACTCAATTTTCCTTCTGAGTGACTTCAAACTTTCTTAAACATCCAGATGTACACACAAAGCAGCAGAGAAACATTTGTGCTCTCTATCAGCCTTGTGATTC